GGTAAAGCAAATGTCTTTGATGGGATTTAAAATTTGGATTTTAGTTCGATCTCTAACTTTATATATATAATATATATAGAACTGTATTTGTTCTTTCATTCATAAATTTTGATCCTTTAATTTATTTTATTTTATTTGTGTTGTTGGAAAAATTTTGAACTTTAACGGAATTATTCATGAGCTAAAAAAATAATGATCATATTGTTTTTGTTGATTAATTTGAACCAATTGTTGTTTGGATTGATGGGTTGTTGGTAAATTGAATGAGATTATGAAATTTCTGGGTTTGATTGCAGAGAGGCATTGAAGATAATCGAAGATGTTAGAACAGTTACTGATATTTACTAGAGGAGGATTAATTCTCTGGACATGCAAAGAGCTTGGAAATGCTCTTAAGGGATCTCCAATCGACACCTTGATCCGATCGTGTCTTTTGGAGGAACGGTCTGGTTTAGCTTCTTTCGATTACAATGCCCCTGGGGCTGCTTACACGCTCAAATGGACGTTCCACAATGAGCTCGGTCTTGTGTTTGTCGCTGTTTATCAGAAGATCCTCCATCTGTTGTATGTGGATGAACTGCTTTCGATGGTGAAACATGAGTTTTCGGAGATTTATGATCCAAAAAGGACAGTGTATGCTGACTTTGATGAAACTTTTCGACAACTGAAGAAGGAGGCTGAGGCTAGGGCTGAGGAATTGAAGAAGTCGAAGCAGGTGGGTAAGCCTGTGAACAATAAGAAGCAAGGGCAGGTGCAGAAGGGGGGACTTGGAGGAGACAAGAAAAAGAATGAAGGTGGTTTGGCAAGTGACGGTGGGGATGGTGATAATATGAAGGGCCGTAAATTGGAGAATGGGATCTCCAACGGTAATCACGTGGATTTCAAAGAATCTAATGGTACTGCTAACGGAAAAGAAAATACTAGTTCCAATCTTGGGGCTTTTGATGTAAATAAGCTTCAGAAACTTAGATCTAAGGCTGGGAAGAAGACAGAGAAAACAGCTACTGTTGATAGCAAGAGCTCCAAGGCTGAGCCAAAAAAGAAGATAACAAAGAAGAATAGAGTTTGGGATGATAAACCTCCCGAGTCGAAACTGGATTTTACAGATCCTATAGGTGAGAACGGAGACAACAATATTGAGGTCGTGGCAGCAGATCACGGTGACAGTATGATGGACAAAGAAGAGGATTTCAGTAGTGAAAGTGAGGAGGAAGAGGAAGAGGATGTTGGGAAGGAAAGCAAACCTGATAAGCAAAAGAAGGTGTGGTTTTCATCCATGTTCCAGAGGTAAATCTTTTGGAAACCTATGATGTTCGTTATGTTAAAATGACTATTTGAGTTGGGGAAAATAACTGCTATTGAAATGGCTCAACACTTCGAGTTTCTCTTTTTCTCGTTAAATCTGAAATGGCTTATGTTTCCTTGTATTGTCAAGCCAGTTTCGTCAGACTATTAGGTTGTTACATAATTTTTATGCCTCTCTCGCTTGTTTGTATTCAGTATTGCTGGCAAGGCGAACTTGGAGAGGTCTGACCTGGAACCAGCTTTGAAAGCTCTCAAGGATAGGCTCATGACCAAGAACGTGGTATGCTCTTGAACTATTTATTTTCCCATATTAAGCTGAAGTTTGTTTTATCAGTAACTTCCAAGTTTTTTAATTGATGGTACAAATACAATCTTTTCAATATTTGTCACCTGATGCTACAGTACTTTTGATCTTATTGAGCCGTCTAATATGATTTTGTGCTGTTGCATTACTAGGCCGAGGAGATAGCTGAGAAGCTTTGTGAATCAGTGGCAGCTAGTCTTGAGGGTAAAAAGCTGGCTTCGTTCACAAGAATATCTTCTACTGTGCAGGTTTGTCAATTTAATTTTCTTCATTCCTCCAATATCCTGTCTACCAGTTTGGCCTCTTAGTATTATTTTTATCAGGCTATAAGACTAATATTTGGGCATGTATAACTTACTGTAGACTGCAATGGAAGATGCTCTTGTTCGTATTTTAACTCCCAGGCGCTCAATTGATATACTGAGGGATGTGCATGCTGCCAAGGAACAAAGGAAGCCGTATGTCGTCGTTTTTGTTGGTGTCAATGGAGTTGGGAAATCTACCAATTTGGCTAAGGTTGAGCTGAATTCTTTTCTTTGTAGTATGTACATTAAGGCATGCCTTTACTGAGTGGTTTTATTAACCAATTGCACCTTGCAGGTTGCTTATTGGCTTCAGCAGCATAACGTCAGTGTCATGATGGCTGCCTGCGATACATTTCGATCAGGAGCTGTTGAGCAGCTGCGTACTCATGCACGCAGACTCCAGGTATGATATTATAGGATTCACATTCACTTAGGAATGGCTGCCGTTCATTGGATAAAAATAATTAATTTGCTGTGTGGACCTAACAAGTAACTTTTAACCAACCTTCCATTTCAGATCCCTATTTTTGAGAAGGGATACGAGAAAGATCCTGCGGTCGTGGCTAAGGAAGCAATCCAGGAGGCCACACACAATGGTTCTGATGTGGTTCTTGTTGATACGGCTGGTCGTATGCAGGTACTGTGTTTCTAGTTCTTTAGCGTGTCTTGTTTTGCTGCTGTGTTTTGTGATTTTTTGTTTGTTTTTAGTAATTTATAAATATTTTTCTTGTATGCCTTTCAGGATAATGAGCCATTGATGAGGGCACTGTCCAAGCTTGTCAATCTTAACAACCCAGATCTTGTCTTGTTCGTTGGAGAGGCACTGGTTGGGAATGATGCTGTTGATCAGCTTTCGAAGTTTAATCAGGTTTGAACTCCATATTCATATTCTCGGTTTTTGTTCTAGTATTGTCCAATTTATGTTTGTTTTCTGTATCATTATTTGCTCACTGGCTGGTATCTGATTCCACCTTCCCTGTTCCTGCAGAAATTAGCGGACCTCTCAACTTCCCAAAACCCGAGATTGATAGATGGGATATTGCTCACTAAGTTCGACACTATTGATGATAAGGTAAACCAACCTTTCGAAACTGCAAGTACTTACGAATATTATTGCAATTTTGGCATGTTTCGATTTTTTCAATGATACATCAACTGCATTTACGTGTTATCGTGTAGGTTGGGGCTGCGCTGTCCATGGTTTACATATCTGGAGCTCCGGTCATGTTTGTCGGGTGTGGCCAGTCGTACACTGACCTCAAGAAGCTGAATGTGAAATCGATCGTGAAGACGCTCCTGAAATGAGAGACGTCGAGCTGCCCAACTTCATGATTCAAAGCATGCTGCCGGTTTATGTTATGAACTCTGTGTCCTGCTGTTTGCTGCTGCACCTTTAATTTGTATTGTCTCTGTTTGATCGACCCTAATGTCACTGTGGTGGTGTTGAAAACTTTGGAGGTGAATCAGTCCTTTCGGCTGTAATTTAATATCAGATTTTATTAGATGCTGTTCAAGTTGCTCTCTTCTCTCCCCCTCTCTAGAAGAATGCCCCAAATTAGTCATCCAAAATTAAAATTCTATGGTCTTCCGGAGTATTGAATGCTACGGATTTTTCAACCGTTAGATTTTTTATTTTTGTTATTCAATGTTTCTGGCAGTATAAAACTTATCCTATGTTCGGACGTGAGAGACTTTCAAGTTTCAAAGTACCGAGGAACTTTAGACCATTTCCAATGGAATGTCAAACTCTAACTGTCAAACTACAATTGAATTGTTGTGGCAATCCAAAGTCTTATGTTAAATTTTGTGTTCTTCCGACCAAATTGTCAAATATTATTTTCTTATTTAATGTAGATCTTTAAATGCTTATATTTATTACAAAAATTGTTGAAACAAATTTTTTGTTGGCTTATATGTTAATGGAATAAGGGACTCATCATTAAACTAATAAAAAATAAATTTGACGGTGAGGGCTTCAAATCCAGTCAGCAAATGACACTTCGGTTGGTGACATCCCCACCTAGAATTTAACATATCCGTAGAAGATGCTCTTGTTCAAGTTGCTCCTCCTTTTCTCCCCCTCTCCATAAGAATGCCCCAAATTCTTCATGCAAAATTAAAATTCTATGGTGTTTGGTAGTATTGAATACTCCGGATTTTTCAACCGTAAAATCATTAATTTTTATTATTCAACTTTTTTGGCAATATAAAACTTATCATATGTTCGAAAGAGAGGCTTTCAAGTTTCTATGTACCGTGAAACTATAGACTTATTAATGTTACGCTACAAGAACACCACCAATAAACTACTCAAGCAATACAAATTTACTCCTCAAATGGTTATCTTGTTTGTAATTTCAACATAAAACAGGAGATATCAATTTAAGCATTTTGAGGCAAAACGAAAAAAATAAAAAAATAAAAAAACCATTTGAGGAGTCATTGGGAAAGAAAACAAAATATGTTTGACTATTAGATAAGTTACATTACCCATTAATCAATTTGTGTATTAATTTGCTTGTTAATTGAATTTTACCAATTATAATTAATATTAGGCAGACAAGGACCCTGGCTATTGGCATACAAAATCATAGATTCATTTACCTTGAAAAACAAGTAATAAGAGAGGCCCTTCGTATATATATGGATATAATTTGTGTTTTTGTTTCTAATTAATGACACAAAATCATAATTAAAAGGGTATTAATTTTTTTTTACTTGACTAGTCCTTTAATTTTCTTATTTTTTTCGAAAAAGATATTCAAAATTTGAATAGAAAATGATGGGTACAAATTTTGAATAACCGGCTCAACCTACATCTGCTTGATATTAATCCAAAGTTGAAAAGTTATACCACTCTATCATAAATACATAATCTGCAGTTTTATGATCAGAATTGAATGTAATCACACTCATTCGGAAGGTAAAAAGCCGTTTGAGATTTTTCCTCTAAATAAATTGATTTCATATTTACAACCCAAGATTGCAAACCAAAAGCCCCCAACACCAAACTTTAACGCCTATATATACAAGAACCACTGTATCAGAAACCCTACAACTTGAAAAATCATAGCACAGAAGCAACAATGGCTTCCTCGAGAAATATTGGTTTTGCAGTTTTGTCCTTTGTCTTTGTGTTATTTGCTTTCTCCGAAGCCAAAGTCATTCTGGTTGGAGATAAGGACGTTTCTTGGAACGTTGATTCTGTCAAGGCCTTGACTCAGTGGGCTGAGAATAGACGATTCAGAATCGGATATGTTCTCAGTAAGTTCTCACCTTTAAATCGTCATCAACCTTCCGTTCATATCTACTTAAAACGAAGATGTCACTATAACGCTATATTAAGTCAATCACTTACTTTTACGCTCTTAAAACTTTCTTCCTCAATAACGTATGATAGACTTGGAATAGCCTTTGTCGATTGAATAGTGATCATTTTTTGAGTAATTCTTGGTTCTTGAGATATATATTTACCCTTTTATTTATTTCTTAGATCACGTTGAGAGGGGATTGTGTTCCGATTGTACACTATGATCTGCCATTTTCCATCGCTTTTGTGTAATGATATTAAAAACTTAAAACGAAATAGTTATCAAATGTTCATAAGTGCGATATTTTTATTTTGGTGCATGCATGCAGAATGGAAAAAGGAGGAAGGGAGGGACTCCGTGGTGCAAGTGACAAAGGAAGCCTATGAGACCTGCGACACATCGAAGCCAATCAAAGCAGATGTGGAGGAGATTACGCTGGACAGGTCAGGACCATTCTACTTCATCAGTGGTGTTAAGGAGCACTGTGACAAAGGCTTGAAGCTCACGGTGGTGGTTCTGACGGAAAAACCTAAATATGGTTCGTACTCTCCGTTGCCTGCTCCGGCTGCACCGCCGTCTAGTAATGCTGCTGCCCCTGGTTTCGGTTTGAGTGCTGGATTTATTGCGGTTGTGGTGGCAGTGGGGATGGCTTTGATTTGAGTGTGAAAGTTAGAGATGTTAAGTTTGATTAGCGAAAAGTATTTCGTAATTTGAAGTTATGAGTTTGTATGTTCTACATAACATTTTTATTATATATCATATTTTGTTATATTCACTTATGGATTGATGAAATTTTCTTTGGTAGTTCAGATTTAGGGTTCGTTTGGGAAACTTAAGAGAAATATTATTGAATTCAATCTTTTAGTAAAAATGTAATTTAATTTTGAAAAACCATTTGATATGCTTCTTCTAATTCTTATCAGACTCACCTAAACTGTTGTGGAAAACCTAACGCACGTTTAGAAGTACTTTTAAAATGGTTAAATCTCATGTGATGAAAATATATTTGGTACAAATTTTTAGAAAAAATGTAAGTAAATATTGGAAAATCACTTGGAAGTGCACCAATTATGTGCTTCTTGCATAAAGTACTTAAAAGTGTTTTTGAAACCTAGCTAATAACATTCTCTTATGAAAATGCTATTCACTGTCCCATTTTTATCTTCCACACATCTTTGTAAAATTTTGTCCATTGATCTTCAATTAATTCAATCCGACGATAAAAAATTGAGAGGATTGTATGAAAAGTAAAGATAGGTGTGTGAAAACCACTACTTTTCTCTAAAAGCGGTCTGATGATATCATATTTCCTTGAAAGTGAAAGGTCTTAGGTTCGAATCTTATAAATGATAAATTTGATCACTTATTTAAGCTGCCCATTGTGTGTCTTACCTGAACTCTCCCTCCCTCCTTATAATGTAAAAATATCGACGTACTTACAAAAAAAAAAAATCACTTATTTAAAAGCACTTACAAACACGCCAATAAAAACAATTTTAGCGGAAAGGTTTTTTCCACACAAACAATTCATTCCTAAAACGACATCGTTTAGCCGGAGACTTGCATTCGAGGAACCATTTTATCACAAACACAACGCGAAAACACTTGGTCGTCGAAACACTCTTCTTCCTCTGCCGTTATCTTTGCCGCGAAAGCAGTCTGCTTTCACAGATGAATTGCAGCAGCTCTCGTGTCTTCTCCCATGGCGCCGTAGCTTCGTTTCGCGGCAAAGGAATGGACTTTCTCTCTCCCAAATTCGTGACCTTTGGCGCCTCCTTCCCTGCAAAATCAGAATTCCTGAATTCCTACATCCACCCGGCTCTCACTTCCCTCGATTCTTTCCGATTTCAGGTACTAATCCCATTTGTTTTCACAATTAATCAATTGGGGTTTCTGTAAATTTAGCATTTTCAATTGGGGTCCTGTAAATTTAGCATTTTGATTTCAGTTTATTTAATTTTAGCAGCAGGGTGGCAATGTACTCCAAGTTTCAGTGAAGTCGAGAAGTTCCAAATCGTATGCATTGGTGGTGAGGAGTGATCATCGCTATCCCCAGAACTCCGACTTTCTGAAGCACTATTCGAAGAAGGAGAAGAAGCCGTTTCCGGTGCCCATTGTGGAGCTGAGGCGGGCAGCAAGAGAGAGGCTGAAGAGCAACAGGGGCAAGCCTAGAACGCCGGTTCCACCTCCCAAAAACGGCTTGCTTGTCAAGACCCTTGTGCCAGTTGCATACGATGTGTACGATGCGAGAATTACATTGATCAACAATTTGAAGAGGCTTTTGAAGGTGGTTCCTGTGCAGGCTTGCAGGTTAGCTCTTGGAGCTTTCTTGAATTGGGTTTGATGGAACTTTTTTTAGATTTAGAGCTCTTTTGAATTTGTTTAATGAAGTTTTTCAACTTTAGGATATTTTTCGAATTGGGTTTAATGGAGTTTTGTAGCTTTAGAAGCTTTTTTGAATTGGGTTTAATGAATTTTTGTACCTTGAGGAGCTTTTTTGAATTTGGTTTAGTGGAGTTTTGTATCTTTAGGAGCTCTTTCGAAGTGGTTTCAATGGTGTTTTGTAACTTTAGGAGGTTTTTTGAATTGCGTTTACTGGAGTTTTTTTAGATTTAGGAGATTTTTCAAACTTGTTTAGGAAGGAAATGAACTTGCATCATGGAGGGAAGTTTATCTCATTAAAAATTTTAACTTGTGCAGGTTCTGTAATGAAATTCATGTGGGGCCTGTTGGGCATCCATTCAAATCATGTAAAGGTGCAAATGCTAACATTCGTAAGGGTGTTCATGAGTGGATACCAAATGTGACCGTTGATGACATATTCTTGCCAGTTGAAGCTTTCCACCTCTATGATCGGCTTGGAAGACGCATTCCTCATGAGGAAAGATTCTCAACTCCTAGACTTCCAGCATTAGTTGAGCTCTGCATCCAGGCTGGGGTCGATATCCCAGAATATCCCACTAAAAGGAGAAGAAAGCCAATCATCCGAATTTCAAAGAGTGAATTTGTTGATGCAGATGAAAGTGAGCTACCAGACCTGGACGATGAAGGACCCAAGAGACCCGTTTTGGCTGAAATACTGGATTCGGAGGTAATAGTCCCTTCCGATGAAGAAGAAACAACCTTGCTTGCTGAGGAAACACTACGAGCATGGGAGCAGATGAGGAGAGGAGCCAAGAGATTGATGAAGATGTATCTAGTGAGGGTTTGCGGGTATTGCCCGGAGGTGCATGTTGGTCCTAGCGGCCACAAGGCTCAGAACTGTGGGGCCTTCAAACACCAACAACGAAATGGGCAGCATGGCTGGCAGGCGGCTGTGCTCAATGACTTGATACCACCAAGATATGTGTGGCATGTTCCAGATGTGAATGGACCGCCATTGGAGCGGGAGCTCAGGAACTTTTATGGGCAAGCCCCTGCGATTGTCGAAATGTGCATTCAGGCGGGTGCTGCTGTGCCAGAAGAATACAGACCAACCATGAGGTTGGATGTCGGGATTCCCTCCACTATTAAAGAAGCTGAAATGGTAGTTTGATGAGTTGGGTTGATCTTTGTCCCCCTCTTATTTTCAGTACAATGTAAATTGTATGTAGAATATCTCAACAGGTGGTCTGAACAAAAAGCTTTTATACATCTTCAGTCACCTTTCTTCTTTTACTTGAGGACAAATCTGACTAATGTAACAATTTTCTGGTTTTCTCATATGGCTGCTGTGTTCCTCTATCCATTAATGCTGCCATGCACTTTCTTTTGTTGTGATGCTTTATGTGTTTAGCTAATAACAAATAAGATGTTGCAGGTTTCAAGCCTTCAAGTTCAATGTTCTTGTAACTATGTATTCATGTGCGTGAGAAAATAAAAATGTTTAGAATGAACCAACACATAGCATATATCGAGATTCATGGTCAATAAATTTGTAGTCAAGGATCTAATGACTGAGGATTCAGCGGTTATGAATTTCGATCATTAATTTACTCAAAGCACGCTATAACCAACATCGATAGTGCTTATTGAGAAAAATTGGTACCATTATTCAGTCTGAATGACTCAACCACATGGCCGTCTGGTTGAGACACATAAGGTGAGGATATTTGGATTGAAAATTTTGACACATTTAGCATTTTTCGTATCGTTGGACGGGTAAATTAGTTGACCCTTAAAAAATGATTAGTGGTAATTAAAACCAGAGACACAAAACAATCCTATTACTGCTGCTTGAAAAACGGTTGAACATCCTAACTTGTTACACATGTATGCATTCTATTTCTTTCAGACCCCCACTTTATTCTTCTGTCTACAAGCATTCATAACCACCTCAGCGCGCAGACGGTTGAAGAAAAACAAAGAGAGGCAAAGAAATCTCGGGACAAGAATCTTTGTTCAAACGAGGGAAACGAAAGCTAGAGGAAACTCGAAGCCATGGCACATCAAATGAAGGGTCATTCTCCAGCACAGCATTCATCGGAGATACTCCATCAGTCTAAGAACGCCCCCTTCTGCCCGATGAAAATGGCGATCGGAGGCTTTGCCGTTGTTGTCACCATCGGTTACTTCACCTTGTACAGCAAGAAGAAGCCGGAGGCAACTGCGTTGGACGTTGCCAAAGTTGTGTCCGGAACCGCCCATCATGTCAACACTCACCCCCGCAAATAGATCACCAGTTCTCAGTTCCATAACTGTCAACTCCTATTTTCTTTCATTATATACATTTATTTCATAGATATTCAATGTAAAAACGGAGTGTTGAACGACTATCGACTACCTGACGGACTCCCTCCTGTCTCATATACATTTATTTGTGGATGGCTTTTCTTTTTCTTTTTTTGAAAGGAAAAGTTTTTGTTGTGATGCTTTATGTGACTAGCTGAGAACAAATAAGATGTTGCAGGTTTCAAGCCTTCAAGGTCAATGTTCTTCTTGTAACTGTGTATTCATGTGCATGAGAAAATAAAAATGTTTAGAATGAACCGACACATAGCATATATCAAAATTTATTGTTATTAAATTTTTAGTCAATGATCTAATGACTAAGGATTCAACAGTTATAAATTTCGATCATTAATTTGCTCAAAGCACGCTATAACCAACATCAATATTGCTTATTGAGAAACATTGGTACCATTATTCAGTCTGAATGACAACCACATAGCCCTCTGGCTGAGACACATAAGGAGTGGCCTGTCTCGAGCAGGTGGGGCCAAAATACAAGAATGGGATTGGATCAAATGTGTTTTTATTTAGATCCAGACAGTCACGTGATCTGGTCATTCGAATCCAAATATTCTCTCAATATGAAATTTCTTATAAAAACATGAATCATGTATTTTAGTCACGCCCAATCCTATGCAGCTTATCAAAGTTTTCGTAATCAGCAGCCCTAGTCTAAAATGGATTTTGGGAGTTGGATTAGATAAAAAAGGAGAGATTTTTTTAACGTGCCGAAACACGGGATGGAACACACATGTTATTATACAATTGAAGAGACATTTAAAAAAAAAAAAAACTTTCTCTAATTGTATAATAACATGTGTTGTTCTGCCCTTATTTCGAACAAATTGAAAAATCTCTCCGGGACAAAGAATATGCCTTGAATTTCTCAGTCCACGTGACTCACGTGCTTCCCAAACTATAACCCCTAATCCCCATACAATCACCGATAGACCCTGCTCTCGGAAAATCCGTTCTTTGAGCCTCCATGGAAGTCGCTTTTCAACCTTCCCCTGCTCTTCTCTGTAATTACCCTCTTTCTCTCTCTGGATATTTTTTGTTTTGCTGAAGAAAGTTAAAAACTTGAGCTAACATCTATGGTTACTTCCACGTATCAGGTCACAGACAATCGAGGCTTCCCTCAACGTCTTCTTTTTCGCCGGTAATTCTATCATTTCTGAATTTATCCCTTTTTTTCTAGCCGTTTTTCTTTGATTCCCATTCCTTTTTTTATTGGAAAAGATAAATTTGTAATCTTTGATTATGTTGGGAAGTTAGTAGTTTGATGATTTGACAATTTCATCCTGTTTGTTTTGATGGGAAAAGATAAATTTTTATTCTTTAATTATGTTCGGAAATCAGTGGTTTGATGATTAAGTGCCTTTCGATCCGAATTTCGTATGAAGAAAATGGTGCTCAAGAGTGCAGCTATGGAACTAGCTGAAAATTTTGTGATAGTATAAAGACAATCTAGTTTTAGCAATTTAGCATCTCAAAACTAGCTTGCTTGTTGTGATTGATCGTTGGATTCGACATTTTGGTGGTTGTAGGCAAATGACGGTGAATCACTGAATGTACGTCAATCTTGGCTGTGTATATAATGTGCATTTTAAAATTATCGGCGTTGAACAGGCCGGTTCAGCAGGCTAGGCTTTCCCTCATCACAACTGTTGTAAACCATTTGGTGTATAGATGTAGAATAAAGCCTTTCACTTTGTTTAATTTAATCCCATAGCGTAATATTGCCAGTCATTTGTGTTGTAACTGCTATGACATTTTTCTTTGTAATGCAGCTGTTCAATTATAAGGGATTCTCTATTGGGTGCTCTCTTGGCAAATGGCCCATTTTTGGAAATTTAAGTCATTGTAAGTTAGGCTATCTCGGTATAATATGTCATGCGTGATTGGGTGCTGTCTTATAAGCAATGTACCTTTATGCGTAATTGAACTATATGGACTATAATATCTCATGCCTCTTTTGTTTTCCTTACTCAGCGGCTCGTCATAGAGTGTTTTGCATTCGAGGGCAGAATGGTGGATTATCGTGGTGTGACTTTGATGCAAAAGAGAAGTTTGGAAGATCATGTTATGATATTAGATTGCATAAACAGCATAGGCTGACCAGGTATACAGTTCTACGATCTGCTGCTGGTGCTGACTATCCATTTCCAGGTTTCTCTAACTAGCATTTTTCTGTTATAACCCTCTCCTTTAGCAGCATTACAAATCTAACTGGCTTACTCATTGTTTTTTCTCTAAAGTGCAGAACCAAACATGGTCTCAAAACTAAGGGGAATCGGCTTTTGTGCCGTTACTGCTTTCAATGCCATTTATCTCTTTGTGCTGATGCTGATACTCCATCCTCTTGTTCTGTTGTTGGATCGGTACAAAAGAAAAGCTCATATTTTTATTGCCAAGGTTTGGGCCACTGCTACTGTTACACCATTTGTTAGGATCAAGTATGAGGGACTGGAGAATTTGCCTTCTCCAGATACTCCTGCCGTGTATGTTTCCAACCACCAGAGCTTTTTAGACATCTATATTCTTTTCACAATTGGGCGACCCTTTAAGTTTATCAGCAAGACTAGCATATTTCTCTATCCCGTTATTGGGTGGGCCATGTTTCTGATGGGTGTAATTCCTTTAAAGCGCATGGACAGCAAAAGCCAGTTGGTACTCCCTTTCCTTTGTGGTAATCTATATAAATATGGTCATTATCTAAACTATCATTTTAAAGTTCTCTTTGCTTTTTTGCCTATAGGAATGCCTTAAGCGTTGCATAGAGCTTATTAATAAGGGGGCTTCTGTCTTTTTCTTCCCTGAGGGGACACGCAGCAAAGATGGAACATTAGGTGCTTTTAAGGTGAGATCTTTTGGGATTCTTTGTTCTTTTGGATGATTATTTAGTTGTGAGAAAGTTTTTTAATTGGAACTTGTAATCGTTGCTCCATCTGTATAATTTATTCCTACGACGCTCTTTCTCCCTTCTCCTCTAAATATGTATTGGGATTTTCTGATATACAGTTTCTTGTTCTTGTTGACATGCAGAGAGGTGCCTTCAGTGTTGCAGCGAAAACCAAGGTACCAGTAGTGCCCATTACCCTTATAGGAACTGGAAAAATCATGCCTCCGGGAAGGGAGGATATCTTGAATACTGGAGCTGTTAAAGTCGTTATTCATAAACCTATAGAAGGACATGATACAGAAGTACTGTGTAGTGAAACTAGAAACGTAATCGCTGGTGCACTTGATCGTCAAGGCTGATCTATCGACTGCCATTTGTTCTGTTTGGTTTCTATGGTTCGATACTCGGTCCTTTTTGTGGGATTGAAGAAATATAGTCTGAAAGGTATGAATCATTTGTGGAATTGCCTCTTTGCTTATTAATTACTTCAATAAATATTCATGGCAAAGCTTATGAGATCCATCTTAGAGTATATTTAATTTGATTGTCGCCTGTTTAGACAGCATCCTAGAAATTTTAGCGTACATGTGGATGGTTTCGTCTAGTTTTGAAGTCCGATTAGGTTCTTGTTCACATTGGAAGAATGGTTTAATGATCTTGCACTTGATTCTGTTCGGGCTTTGCTTCAGTCCAAATATTAAAAACATGCTTGGTCTCTTGTACAGATTTGAACTAACGAACATTCTATTATTCTCCGGTGCAACATAGTAGAAAATTCCTTGAACTTAACATGTTTTTGGTACTTGTGTGTTTCTGTTTCATCGTTAGGTTGTGGATAGCTGATGACACAGGACAATAAAACTGCATCTGAATCTGAAGCGATCGAGCATGGAACGTCTCTTTGCCTGAGGCTGTCCGTCCCATACTTACAAACTTGCAAGCGCCGCGGCCTACGGTAAACATCTGCATCCCGACAGCCACAAAGAAGCGAGCGGTTGGCCGGACCCCGGGCCTTGGGAGTTTTTGAGCAGTGTAGGCTTCAACTGTTTGTTTTTTTTGGAGGGAAATATCCTCCCACGTTGATATTCTGAATGCCGATCCCATTGAGCTCGATGTTATATTATATTATTATATTTATATTGTACGTCTTTGAATTTGGATAGGTGTCGTGGATGCTGCTAAGAATATAATTGCAAAGAAAATTATTGTGTCTTTCACTTTCACATGATCATTTTTTTACAATTATTTTTGTCAAACTGATCATTCCACTTAAAGAGACCAAAATGATTTACGGTAACTATTTTTATTGATTGTCATTGTCATTGGGTCCGGATTCTCTTTGGAGGATCTAGGAATTTGTGAATTGTGTCTGTACATGTTGCGATTAGAAATCATTTTAAATATTTTTATTTAAAAATAAACATAAACAATATTTGATAAAAACTGATTGCACTATGTACGATAAACGAAAACGATTCAAGAATTCTTAGGATCCTCATTAAAAGGATTTGAAGACGATCCTGTTGGATTGTCACTGGTTAAGATAAGGAGTTAACATAAGGGAATTGTTATTAACACTCTTAAAATTTCATTTAGCATTCTAAATTTTTTATAATTAGAAAGAAAAATACACAAGTGATGAGTGTATAATGAAAATTTTAAAGTGCTAATAACAATTTCCTACACCTGGTTAAAAAGTTTTTGAGATTAAAATTTATTAAATTATAAATAAAAATGTTTTTGAGATTAAAATTTATTAAATTCTAAATAAAAAAGAAAAAAAAGGATAATGGGGAGCTCCGCTGTCAGTGCTCCAGTAACAGCATTGACTTTCTTTCTTCGTTTTCCCCCTTTTCAATTCCGGTAAAATACTCTCTTTCTCTCTCTCTCTCTCTCCCCTTCGTGATATCCTCCTCCTTCCGTTGTGCTTGACACCCAGTTGTTACATATACCCGTAGTCTCTCTGCCCGTCGCTGGCGGCAAGCAACGGAATAAGAATTTAACTCCTGGTTTTACTGTGAGTTGCTTCTCTCTCTTTCTCTCCCCCCCCCCAATCTTATATGCTTTGATAATTTCTGCACAGATGATCAATTATACTACATGGTTTCTTCTTCTTCCGTTAATCGAGGGAAATTTCTGTCAAAATATGAAATTATTGTAATTTAATTGCATGTCTTAAGGGAAATTTCAGTTCTTTAGGGAAATTTCAGTTCTTTTTCCACTGTGCTTAATCAAGTTTGTTGCTTTTGTTTTGGGTTTTTTTTTTTTTTGAGGGGTTTCTTAATTAATTGGTTTTTGATGGATTTCTTAACTAATTTGGCCAGTGTCAGGAAACAGTAGTTTTTGGAAATCTATGGTTGTCTTGGATTTTGCCTGAATTGGAAGAACTTGGCTTTACATGATTGAGCATTCCTCAGAGATCCGGCTGTTGGAGAATCTGAACTGAAAACTATTTAAGACTCACAAAACATAGGAAAACAGATAAGAGAATAATGAAAATTTTGTATCCGAATCGCAGAATTGATTATCGAGAATCTGAAGTGAAAACTGTTTTGACTGCTTAGTTTATGCACTGTTGACTATTATAGGGATCTGAGTTATATAATTAGCATTTTTTTTGTTACATCAAAGCGAGAAAACATTCGGTTTACTGTAAACCAGATTGTTATCTTTTTAGCACTATTAGGTTAATGAAATTGGTTGAGCACTTGGTGGAAAAATGTTATTGGAAATTAGGAATTGTTATAGATTCGTACTTCCCATCTGGTTGGTGTTGATAATGCCAACTCTGTCAGATGTGAGATAGCTCAGCCACATAGACCTGAACATGATGACTTTGATGCTCATCGCTTTGCATTTAATTTGGATGTTATTTTTGTCATGCAGGTGGAATTGATGTGTTTGATTGAGTAAAATGTTGGATTGTGGTTACAACAAGCCACAGTACTTGGGAGGCCAGAGAGACAAGTTTGTGAGGTACAAAATGTGACTTTTCTTTGTCGAAGTTTGCAAACGTTTTTTTCAGGGCATCGACGCCAAATATGAAGATCTGATTCTAGTTATGGACAATTATCTGTTACACTTCGGTATGACTAGTTGAGACATCATATTTGCTAAAATTTTAGGAAGTATGTTGTCTTTCAAATCCAATAAGTAGATAGCAAGTTGCCTAAATAAAAAATATTTTAGAAAAATTGTTTCAGGTAGATTGTTTTTGTTTATAAGTATTTCTATATATTAATTTTGATTCATGTTTCATTATGTATGAATGAATGAAGATAATATTATAGTTCCCGGTCAGTATCTCATGCTTCCTTTTTTATGATGAAAAGCTGAACGTTTATGTTTCTAATAGTGTTGAAACTAGATTTGGGTCATCTGGTAAAATGGCATCGAGTGTTGTGCTTATCGGCAACTTTTTATTGATTTTCTAGGTTAGATGACTTGGACTCTAGATTATCATCACCTTCTGATTCAGGAGGTAGAAGGTGTGGGTTTAATATTGAACTAACAAGGACTGCTCCTGCGAGGGATACATCTTTTAAGAGAGGAATGAAAAAGGGGTCTGAAGGACTTAAGTCAATTGGCCGATCACTTGGATTTGGGATCTCTCGTGCAGTATTCCCTGAAGATCTTAAGGGGTCAGACAAGAAGATATATGATCCTCAGGACAAATTTCTCCTGCTGTGGAATAAATTTTTTGTCCTCTCATGTATTCTGGCTGTATCTGTGGACCCTCTGTTTTTCTATCTTCCAGTCATCAATAGTTCATCAACATGTCTTGGCATAGATCGAAGGTTGGCTATCATAGCGACCACATTGCGGATGATTGTTGATGCTTTCTATCTTATTCACATGGCTCTCCAGTTCAGGACAGCTTACATTGCTCCATCATCTCGGGTTTTTGGAAGAGGTGAACTGGTGATTGATCCAGCACGAATAGCGAAGCGATACTTACGAAGTTATTTCATCATTGATTTTCTTTCAGTGCTACCCCTACCACAGGTAAGAGTGTGTTTCCCTAAATTATTTGACATGGCTATACCTCTTTCATGTAGTTTTTGCTCTTATTTTATTTTGCCTTTTGGTTTCTATGTATCGTTAATTATTGGCATATTTCATTTATTTAGTAGAAGATCTGAAAAATACACTGAAACGAAACTGGTAACTGTAAGCCTATATTTTGTTCTATGCAAAACTAAAAGGCCGTAATTGGTGCAGATTGTTGTTTGGAGGTTTCTTCAGAGGTCCAAAAGTTCAGATGTGCTTGCTACAAAACAGGCTTTGCTTTTCATAGTTTTATTTCAGTATATTCCCAGACTTCTTCGAGTCCATCCTTTGACTTCAGAGCTGAAAAGAACAGCTGGCGTCCTTGCTGAAACTGCTTGGGCAGGCGCTGCATACTATTTGCTATTATATATGCTCGCTAGTCATGTGAGTGCCTATTTTGTTCCTACTCTTGACTGTTTTTTTTCCTTGTTTTCTTGCTTTATGTTATTCAACTTTTTTTTTTCTTTGCGTATGAACATTTGATTATTTCCCTCTGAAGGTTATTAATTGTCAGACATTAACATGGAAATCATACTTTTCTTTGGGGGCAATTATTATCTTTGCAGATAGTTGGGGCATTTTGGTATTTGTTAGCCTTAGAACGCAATGACACATGCTGGCAGAAGGCTTGTACTGAAATTGGAAAATGTGATAAAAAGATCTTGTACTGCGGGAACCAATACATTTTAGATCCTGCAACTTGGTCCAATGTTACCAAAACCATCTTATCAAAATGCACGGCAGATGACCAGAATACATTCTTTGATTTTGGAATCTACAATTCGGCTTTATCATCTGGGGTTGTTTCATCCAATAAGTTCATCGTCAAATACTGTTACTGTTTGTGGTGGGGACTACAGAATTTAAGGTACTGATGTCATCTGAAATAACAATGTTCCTGATCCTAGTCATAAAGTTCAATATGTTTTATGTGGTGGTTTTACTTGATGTTGGAAAACCAAAAAATAGTCACTGCCATTCTTGTTCCTCCGTCCATTGCGCCTCTTGGGGGCTTTAAAGTTTTAGCTTTTAACAGCATTTTGTTTGGCTTCTTTTTACAGTACACTTGGCCAGGGTCTTGCAACCAGCACCTATCCTGGAGAGGTTATATTTTCCATAGCACTGGCTATATTTGGACTGATCCTCTTTGCACTTTTGATAGGAAACATGCAGGTAAACTTGGAAGTAACAGTTGATGCTTACAATGTAGCATGAAAAGCAGAATATTATTATTGCTAATATTCTGGTGTTATGGTATTGTTACAGACCTATCTTCAATCTCTTACTATTCGACTTGAGGAGATGAGAGTCAAAAGACGCGATTCAGAGCAGTGGATGCATCACCGCTTGCTCCCACAAGACCTTAGGGAACGCGTCAGGCGATATGATCAATATAAGTGGTTGGAAACACGTGGTGTGGACGAGCAGAGTTTAGTTCAGAGTCTTCCAAAGGATCTCAGGAGAGATATCAAGCGGCACCTCTGTTTGGCATTAGTGAGGAGGGTACGATTAGTAATTCTTTTGTTCTTTGTGTATATTTCTAGTGGTAATTGCTTTCATACTTGTTGGTTGGTCCTCCCACCATGAATCATTCGATAAATTTCACTTTGCTGGTCATCGCAGGTTCCACTGTTTGAGGATATGGACGAGAGGTTGCTTGATGCCATTTGTGAGAGACTGAAACCAAGTTTATTCACAGAGAGTACTTACATAGTTCGGGAAGGAGATCCCGTTGACGAGATGCTTTTCATCATACGTGGTCGCCTGGAGAGCATAACAACAGATGGTGGTAGGAGTGGGTTTTTTAACCGCAGTTTACTGAAGGAAGGCGATTTCTGTGGTGAGGAGCTTCTAACTTGGGCACTGGATCCCAAATCTGGTGCTAACCTCCCATCATCTACTCGGACGGTAAAGGCTTTAACAGAGGTTGAGGCTTTTGCCCTTGTAGCCGAAGAGTTGAAATTTGTTGCCAGTCAGTTTAGGCGCCTTCACAGTAGACAGGTTCAGCACACCTTCCGTTTCTACTCACAACAGTGGCGGACCTGGGCTGCTTGCTTTATCCAAGCAGCATGGCGCCGCTATTCCAAGAGGAAAATCTTGGATCTTCGTCGTAAGGAAGAGGAAGCAGAAGCAGAAGCCTTGGGAGGTGCCCGCAGCAATGCTGGAGGTTCGTATAGTATTGGTGCCACGTTTTTAGCTTCTAGGTTTGCTGCAAACGCACTTCGTGGTGTTCACCGGAACAGGAATTTGAAGAGTGCTCGAGAATTAGTCAAATTACAAAAGCCTCCGGAGCCCGATTTTAGCGCTGATTAATTTGTGATGTATTATATGACTGGTACAAGGTTGTTCCAAACCATGTAATATACACAATTCCAGGTTTGGAACTTGATGAAATGTTAAAATTGTATGTTTGATATTGTTTTCCATTGAGAGATGGTGTTGGTAGGTTATGCGTAGACCTGGCATTTTACACCCGTCCCGTTAAAATTAGTATTCAGGTGAGTATTTAACTGGTCGGGTTGTTAATGGGTCAACCTGTTAATCACTTGTTAAATAACAGGTCATTTTGGATCAACTTGCGAAACCTGTTAGCATTTGTTAACACCCGTTATTGAGGGCTTTTGTGTAATTTCAATAGTTATAATAAGAAGCCCTCAAACTCAAAGCCTATCTCTGCCACTTCAAGGAGGTTGCAGATATGCTCCAGGACTACATTCCCGGCGCAAAATGGCAACAGACGACTCTTCCTACTCCGGCGGCTCTGACACTTCGTCTCAACCGCTTTCTCGAGAGCGAGTCAAGCTTCTCTCCTCCAACAACGGCAACTCGTCCTTTGGCTTGCCGGATCGGGATCCTTCCTTCAAGTGCTTCTCTGTCTCGGACTTGAAGAAGGTCATGGCATGCCTCTGTCAAACGGCGAAAAGGATGGATAATGGAGGTAACTTTCAAAATGGATTGATTCCATTGGTTTTGCATATTGGCATTGCGTGTTGGATTTTTGAAATGGATGGATTTTTGAATTTGAATTGGAATGCAAAATTAAAAAAATAAAAATATGTTAATGGGTGTTAACGTTTGAAACAGGTGATCAATGAGCTTAACGGATTGGATTCGAATGACCCGTTAACTTAACGGGTCGTATGACATCCGACTCAAACCCAATAAACCCAACCCGTTTACAAGTCTAGTTATGCGTCGCCTTTTATCTTTCGTCACGGAACGATTTTCGCGTTCGCAGTTCTACTTTTAATCACAGAAGAGACGTTAAGCTATATTATTTCCAGAGATGTGTTTGGCAAGAAAACATAATAAAAAGCAGCAGTAGCAATTTTACATACAGGAATTCCCTTTTCATTCCTGCAATCAGCGATGCGCCGTCGACGACGGCACGGAGATTGCTTACAATTTTCTCGAGTGTTATCGTATGGAACGGAAAGAACACGATGGTAGAAGAACAAATAAACAAAAAGAGCAGCTTAAAAAATGACCTGTATAGAGAAAGGCTAGGAACAAGAATTTCTACGACCTTGAGATTCAAAATCGAACCCAGTTGGTAGCTCCACGAGGACATCATCATCGCGGAAAAACAAGAGAATCATTTCCTTCAGATTGGGACTATGAATCAGTCAATCTTCACTGACGAGTAGATGAGCCTAGTAAACCAGAAGCATGCGTAGAAACCGATTGTACCAGTCAGCACGAAGAAGGAATAAGAGGCAATCAGCATATACCCGAAATACAAGGCTCCAGAAACTGGCTTCTTAATGTCAAGCTTAGTGAAGAAGTAGAAGGCAGCGTAGAGGAAAAGGTAGAGCGCTGAGGAGCCCGAGGTCAAATACGACCTCCACCACCAAAGGTAGTCTTCACTGCACAACTGGAAGTAGCAGAGAACAATTGTGATCTCGGCACATGTGATGATGAGGATAATGAAGACGATGAAAAGGAATCCAAATATGTAATAAAACTGATGCAACCATATCGATGTAAGGATGAAGAAGAGCTCGATAAAGACGGCCCCAAACGGGAGTATGCCTCCAATTAGGATAGAGAAGGCTGGATGCATGTACCATGCCTGTTCCGGGACTTGCCTAGGGATCTTGTTGGTTTTCACAGGATCCTCAATTGACGGCTTCCTAAAACCCACATATGCACCAACGAAGATAAGTGGAACTGAAATGCCAAACCATAAGAATACCAGAGCAAACATGGTTCCAAATGGAACTGCCCCAGAGGACTTCTCGCCCCAGATAAGAGCATTCAAGACGAAGAAAATAACAAAGAGAGTTGCAGGAAACATGAAAGCTGTTTTCAGAGTGATTTTCTTCCATTCTGTTCCCTTAAACATCTTGTATAGACGGGCTGCAGAGTATCCAGCAAAGAGGCCCATAAAGACCCAGAGGAGGAGCATGGCGGTCATCAGCCCACCTCGGTTTGAGGGGGAGAGGAATCCAAGGACTGCAAAGAGCATGGTGACGAGAATCATCCCAAAGAACTGCACACCCGTCCCAACATACACACACAGTAGATCTGAGTTTGCTGGAGGTCTGAATACATCCCCATGAACCAGTTTCCATCCTGTCTCTTCTTGGGCTTCTTCTTGGGTCTCTAGTTGGTTGTATTTGGAGATATCCCGGTAAAGTGTCCGCAACATTATCATAGCAACCATGCCGGAAAGGAAAAGAACAATCATCAAAGAATTAACAATTGAGAACCAGTGGATTTGATCATCAGCCATCAGAAGATATGTGTCCCATCGGGATGCCCACTTCACATCACTCTCCTACAAGGTTAAACAAAAGCCAATCTGAAACCCAACTCAAAACGGCAAACAAAGAAGTCATTTATTAGGAAATGGCAAGGGCACCAACCTGGAACTCAACATCATATGTGAATATAATTTCCTTTTTATCTTCAACCTCCTGAGGAGATTCGGAGCTGCTAACTGTTCGCTTCGCATGGGGATCACATGTTGTTAAACGTGTCTTGTTAGTCCACTCACCTTCATATTCATGCTTAACACTGCATTAACCAAAATTGTCCGCTATCATATAGGTATGAACTCTCATTGGAGAGAAGAGATAGTACAAACTAATTAGCCTATGATAGAAAAGAATAACAAATAAATACCTGAATGGTTTCACCTCAAATCCGACAATCCTGGCAGATTCTGTCATTGGATCCTTGTGATACTTGACTGTAAATGTTAAGTGATTGTTGATAAAATGCTTTTCATCCTTGTTCTGCAAATGTTTAAAGGAAAAAGGGAAATTCAGCACTCTTCTATAAGCATGTCAGCAAAAGAATTAAGATCATGCAAAGAATGCTAATTGTTCAAACAGCTACCCCAGCATATTGTCCTCTAAGACCAACATGAAATCCATGTTGATACACCAAGGCATTTTCCCGATCAAGCCGTGGTATAGGAACAACCAGAGGAAGATTATCCAGAATCCTGTAGTTTGACAAAATTTATCAGAATGTAACTCAATTGTTCATCACATCACATAGGAGCATATGATTCACATGCATGATATTCAGGATTCACGACTCACATGTTCACCCGATACTCATCATCTATCTTTTCCTTAAACTCCTTTGCAGTTTTTGCATTAAGAACTACACGACATACAACACTGCACATCTTTGGTTCTCTCATTTTGAACTGCAACAAAAAAAATAAGATAAAATTATAGCTGCTCAATAACCAAAGCGAAGGACAACATAACCATAACAGTAATCTCTTAAAATCTACTTTACCTCGTAACGAGAGTTTTCAATGCGATCACCACGAAGAACTTCCCCAAGATTTTCTGCACTGTCTACTATATGCTCCGGAGTACAGTATGGGAGGGAATAGTATGAGTAAGGAAGTTGAGTTTTTGTAGAGGTCAGTTTGTTCACCTTCACATTCAAGATATTTCCCTGCACGCACAAAGGTAAACAGTGTGAATACAACACCATTGGATAGCAAAACGCATGTATTAGTTGACATCAAACAATCTCAATCACGAAGCTTGTTCATTGACGAAGGAGACCTACTACACCTATTGTAGATGTCTTAAATGATTTCTTTCGAGGCCGTCTATATGTTACTAAATCCGTACTGTATTTTTTCTTCCTCAATTGCAAAGTTGAGAAAAGATTTCACAATCTCAAAGCTATTCAGCACATCTTAGCATTTTCCTTTTCCCCGAAAATTTAAATTTTTTTTAACATTTGAACGACAATACAAGCTCTAACACTAACCGAACGAAAGAGAACAAGAAAATTTGACAAATGTGCATGTAGATATTGCATCATTGCAATCTACATCTCACGCAATATAAGAAACCAACAGAGATTTACAAAAATATACAGAAATGCAGCAACTTGAACTAAGATCTCAATGACTCGAGTCACAAGATCGTAAATTTATGAAATCTTTCGCCAAAAGACCCGAAATTGTAAGCACCCAAATGCCGAATTGTATACGGATCTGTCTGTAACTAAGAACACGCACCAAAAAACTGCCATGGCATACATTACATTCAATTATACACAGAGGTTTAATCATATACACATATATACATATGTACACATGTATAGAGAGAGAGAGAGAGAGAGAGTTAAAGGTGCTGACCTGCTGAAAATCTTGAGGGGCGACACCCGGGAGGTAGAAGCAGCGACCATGAAAGAAGAGCAAAAGACACACAGAGATCCATAGCTGAAAAGCGAGAGGTCCTCTCGCCATGGCTTCTTCCCACAAGATCTAGATCCACTTCCTCTCTCTCTCTCTCTCTCTCTGCAATTCAGATATTCTGTGAGAGTGTTTGTATGATTGTATCAAACCAATGTATCACTCAGTGGTTGGTTCCCTGTTTGCTTTAAAAACACGAGAAGAACGAGAAGCGCTCTCTCTCTAAAACCAGATGGTTGGGATTTACAAGACGAGGCTGACATTTGAAATCCCTGTCATCGCCGTTGGATTTTTTCGCGGGCCTGATGTGCGGTGGGGATTGGTTTGGACTTCACGGACGGCCTAACGGACCGACGGTGATTACAAGTTGAAGAAATAAAAAATAAAAACCATGCAAGTGTTGGCCAAAAAATGAATGAGAAAAATAAGGGTGTGTTGTTTACACATCTATTTTTCTTTTTACACATCATTTTTAATTTTTTATCGTCGGATCGAATAAAAAATATGATGTAATAAGAGATCGTGTTAGCTGTAATGTTGATCGAAACGTTCGAGTTTAAAATCTCCATCAATTTGTTTGGTCCTAACTTTGTGCTTATATTTGAAACCGTCATTTATAATTTTTTATGCATTTTTGTTCACCGATCTATTAATAAGTATTAGATGAGTTTGAATATCGAGATGTGTGTAGTAGATACATTAAAAGAAAGGGAAATGATAAATACACATTTTTTTACCTCACACACATCCTTGTTTAAGCATGTTAGTTATTATGTTTAATTTACTCAATCTAATGGCTAGGAATAAAAAAGGTACGTGAAAATCATTTCCCTAAATCAAAATGAAATCCACTTCGGATCTTTGTGTCCAAAGCCCAAGAACTGAAAGATTCGGACCGTTCAAGAGAGAGAGAAAGGGATATGTGATGTCCAAGATTTTAAGTTTGTGAAGTGAGCCAGTGGGATGGGCTAACAGGGGTGTATGATTGAAATTGAGTCGTCTAGATCTCTCAATCTGCAAGCTCTGGACACAGAGATTCGGAGTAGATTTCAAACCCTATTGTTTAAACAATTTGTTTTCACTTCTTTTGTAAACAAACAATATATACTCTCTTTATGAAACCTGAAATTCTACATTAGAATTTAACAATGCAATTTGATCATGCAGGCGGAAGAAGGAACCAACCTGAACCAAAAGTTTGCTTGAATCGTAAATAATCAATCAAATTCCATTCCATAAAACTTGAGGGTAAAGCAACAGTACAAAACGTCAAACACTTGAAATAAAATTGTTGCTACCTCTTTCGATGCACCTTCGAGTAAATTGAAGAACTCAATATAGCTATCAAAAGAAAAAATTGTGCATTAAATGACCATCTAAATCCCGAAAACTATGAGCACGACCTTCAGTGATCGGAGGAGAAAAATGGGGAGGTGGCGGTTCAAAACAGATGCATATCAGTTCTCCTGCGTAGCAGGCGGGTCAATCATTCTCACCGTACGAGGAAGCATAAACTCGGCAAATATGGGATAGTGCGAGGATGGGTAATATCCATCAATGTTATCACTCACCACTTCACACAAGACAGGGATAAGAGATCTACCTCTAAAAAGAATCCAATCTACATGTAGATCCTGTGTTTGTCGATCCCAGCAGAGGCAGAGCGCTCTGAAAATCAACTTGAGGAATTCAAGAGCTCCTTGTTTGTCACCTGAAAGCGTCATGTACTATGAAATTAAATCATGCTCAACGAGCAGCATTAACAGCAGTAGTGGTATAGCAGGTACCTTTAAATCCATGGAAAGTGCGAATGAGAGAGGCATTTTTCCTCACACGAGCATTAGGCCATGCATCCCTCATATCCCCCACTGCACCGTGCTCTCTGCAGGGAAGCCAAGGGAGAAGATTTACTAAAAAGAACAAGCTGTTAGAGAAAATCCAACACCTATCTGGTGAGCTTCCTAGCAGAGAGAGACTAGCATGTAAATTCGTCTCACACTATATCTAACGGAGAATGATTTCGATACTGCCAATTTTAAATTGAAATCCTATCCACCAAACAAATATCCGGTGGATAAAGGAAAAAGGGATCTGGTGGGTTTACAAAAGTGGAAGGGGATCAAAACGAGGACAAGAGGAAGGAGGTGTCCGAGATTTCTGCACCGATGGAGTAGTACCATATCTAGAGGCACAAATGAAGGATGCTCCTTACAAAAATCTGTCAGCTCACAAAAGCATCACAGTTTCCTGTCTATTCCATAATTCCCAAGTCCCAACCTTATGGGCTATTGCATATATGGAGACTGGTAATAAATATGGAAAAATTGCAACATGTAAAAACAATTGAATATCCACACGTTAACTGAACCTTGATCTCCCCAAAAGAAACCGGCCAGTAGTTGATTCCTTTTGTGTGTTGAAACCTCCACAATATACAACTGGCAAGCCAGGTGGTAAGGACGCTATGTGCTGCCATGTGAGCAAAGCACTTCGTCGACGAGCACGAGCACTGAACTCATCCATGTTTGTATTTACTATCTGGAAGGAAAATCCAGGTGGCTCAGCTCCTTTCAGTTGAAATGTGTGGACATCATGTCAAGATAACAAATGATACGGCACTCTTTCATGGAAATGTTAAAGCAGTTGTTGAAGATTATGTAAGTTTGAGAAAGTAAACTGATAAGGATATCACCCATGTTGCTATACATGGAACTTCAGAACCCCATGACATGCTTCCGGGAACAGAAGGTGACTCTGACAACCAAAATGTTCCACCTTCAAGCATCTCCACCTAATTTTATGAAAAAATGGCACAAAGAAGGTCAAAGTTCGCAAGTTCTCAGACAAAAAAAGGTATCTGGAACGAAAAACAGAAGGGAACTTCACCTTCTCCTTGTCATAGAAGATGGTGCAATGTTCATCAGCAGTGTCTTCAGGCCCTTTTCTTGATATTCCAAATTGATCATAACCTAACAAATATGATAATACCAGTCCAATCATAAGTGGAAATAAATAAGAGGAGAGAAAGGAGATTGCATTGACATAAGACCATTGCATTCTATATAATGAAGATCGATGCGAGGCTTGCCAGCAAACCGTTCTTCAAGAATATCTCAATATAGAAAAAACAGTGACATGTATCTTTCATTTTATACATGGAAAGTCGTAGGTAAACAAAATCAATTAAAGCGGGGAAGGGGCAGACACCGTAATTGCATCTTGCGAATGATGCATAATAATGCCTCTTGTCAAACTGTCAAGAAAGAGAACATAGTATCGAAGCCCTTCTTCATAAGAAACAAACAATCGAAACATGTACTCAAGAAAGCGAGCACAAAGATGCGCCTTTCCTCAACCATATGACAAAATACCGATGCTGTAATTCGAAGAATCGAAAAATTTAACGTTTTGGAGAGAAAGTTACCTGGCAAGCACTGCTGAAGATAATCCAACTGTGATTTAACTCCTGAAGCAGAAAATGAACATAAAAGAATCAAATTCCAGAAACAAGAAAGACACCAACCATTAACATTTCAACTTAAGTACACAATCAAGCATTTTGAACATAAAAATGTAAACCCAGCACACCAATAATATTGCCCTATCCAATCAAGCTTCACCCCAGATAACTCACTCACCGCAAACCCAGCTCACCCCCAACAGATTTCAACAGTGAAACCAAATCCAAGTCCCAAAAGAACAAAAACCCAGCTCCAAAAATCAAAAGGTAACAAAAACCCATATCCCAAAAGTGCAAGATCCATGTGAAAATCACAGCAAAGTAAAGGAAAGCAGAAGAAAATATTTACCTTGCTGGGTACACAGAATCATAGGAGAATAGCTAGTTATGACGCTTATGCATAAATCCTTTCTCTTATCCCACGAGTTGGGACTGTCTTCCGTCTGATCTTCGTGAAGATTGAAGGCCATCACTGTCAAAGAAACACTCATTTTTTGGTTCTTCAGGTGCAAATCTCTGCCTGCTCTTTTATTTGTTACATGATCAATATTTGTTGCTGCATCATGCTCCACGAAAAAGAAAGGAGCAGATGAGATTTCCTTTGCTTACTCCATTCTTTTAAGCTCAGGGGAGCAGATTCTCAGAGATGACGATGCTCCAATATTAAAAGAAGAGGGGAGAGAGAGGGAGAGAGAGTCAATTATGTCTGAAGCGTGAGAGGATTTTGTCAAATGTTTTAAAAGTTAGAATTTATAAATTTACGTACACGAATTTTCTTGTTTGGATTTATAACATAGAAATTTAGAATTTTTGTGTGGAAAAAAAATTTGGAATTTGGGGCCTCCAATTTCCAAGTTTAAATTCCATGTAAATAAGTGTCATTTCCCAATTTCTATGATTGGGAGTTTAAAATTAACAAATTCCGTTTTCAATTCCATTATTTTTTAAGTTAACCAAACAACAAAATTCACAAATTCTAGAAAATAAAATCCATTCATTTCAATTTCTGTCATTTTAAAATTTCTTAGTAATCTTAAATTTCTTTATCTAAACATAGTGTAATGAAATTTAACGAAATGCTCCCAGTACTATTTACCTTAACGAAAAATCATATTTTTACGTTAAAAAGTTAATCCTTGTCACATCCCAGAAGGTATATCACTCCATCTCTGTTGGTCAATGTAGGATGTTACAATCCACCCCCCCTTAGGGGCCCAATGTTCTCGTCGACACATTCATACCACACGACAGAGTGACTCTAATATCATTATATCACATCCTAACGACTCCGCCGTAGTATGATATTGTTTGCTTTGGGTCCCGGCCACGCCCTCATGGTTTTGTTTCTGAGAACTCAGACGAGAACTTCCCAGGGGTAACTCATTCTGGGAATGCTCTATTCCAAACTCACTTAACTTCGGAGTTCCGATGGAATCCGAAACCAGTGAGTCCCCAAAAAGCCTAGTGCTATATGGAGGTGGGCATGTACATATAAGACACATCATCCTCTCTACGTTGGTCGACGTGGGATGTTACAATCCCAATACTATTTAGTGTACCCTTTATTTTGTCTTTATTGTTAAAACTCAAAGTTCAAGCCATTTTCATTAGTTTTCATTTAAAAGTACTCACAAAAATATTTTCCACACAAATTCTATGGTGATTAGAATGTTTCGAGTATAGGATATGTTTAGCTTTTTAATCATAAAATCTTGATTTTTGTATTTTTTTAACCATAAAAAAATTCATGTGTTTTTGTTTTTATTCAGTATGAAAGTTGTTGTAATTAGACAATCATACCTGAAAATTAGCGGAGACCTACAATCTTACCAAAGTTTCTCTATCACGTGTTTACAATTATATTTGAAGAAATATGAACCTAATTTGATACAAGTTATAAAAAAAAATTCTTTATTGGTTAAGACAATCATACCTGAAAATTAGCGGAGACCTACAATCTTACCAAAGTTTCTCTATCACGTGTTTACAATTATATTTGAAGAAATATGAACCTAATTTGATACAAGTTATAAAAAAAATTCTTTATTGGTTAAGAGGAATTGAGATCCTCTCCACATCCCGCTATCTAGGCTGCATTCGAGAGTTTGAACACCATACCAAAATACAACCTTCATTGTGAGTGGAAATTCCAATCCCATTTTTGTCCTTATTGCATCTAGAGTTGGCGGGCTCAAAAATCCAAACCACTCATATCAACACTTATTATCGAAAAGCTTAAAGGTGGATAAACATTCTTTACCGTCTAAGAGCTCGTTTGGATGTATTTTTTAAACGACTGAAAACGTTTTTGGTGAAAAAGTTTTTAAAACCAATCATTAGTATAGAAGCAAATAAATCCTGAAAAACACACTTATTGTGCTTCTTGGAATAAGCACATAATTGATGATTCTTGCATAAAGCACTTTAAATGCTTTTGAAACCCAAAAATAATTTATCTAAAAACGTATTCAGTCATTTTAAAAGCACGTCAAAACGAGCCCAGAACCACAGGCTTGTTGAATACGACTTTACTTTTTCAATTTTCTTCCGATAGGGCACCGAGAAAACGACTACTTTACTCATAAGCTCTCTCTTTTTATTTAAACTTTTAACGTTCTAACGACATGATAAAAGGTAAAAACTTGAACAAGACCATGCCTAGGAGGCTAGGTCCATTAACCCTTTCCATTTCTTTTCCTGCACATTTTATTCATTAACTAAAGTCGACTCGCGGCACATCAAGATGCTTCTGTTGCCTCGGCTGGTGATGCTTATGTCGACGGATGCTTCAGCCACCTAAGAAGAGTTCTTCTGAACCCACTCCACCAGAGTGGAAACACCGAACCCTGTAGCAGTGCGTTTCTTGTCATTCCAAACAGGCCCGGCCATGTCAATGTGCATCCACTGAACCTTTTCGTCCACAAACTGCAAAAGCATAGTTGTAAACATTGTCATTAGTAAGTGAGACAACAGGACACAATAAGGCAGGTTTTGTCATCAATGGGAACAAAGGAGAAGACAGTAGTCCTAGATTCGTCGTAGTGTAGTTTCTTGGGCTTTAGCCCTCCACTTAACCGGAAAAAGAAAAGGTGAAACGGATGTCAAGTTATTTCGGTGATGAAGCAAGAAGCACAGAAGACACCAAGAATAAAAATATACAATCATATACCTGCTTCAAGAAGAGAGCAGCATTGATTGAACCACCTGCACGACCACCGGTGTTGAGCATATCAGCTATTCCGGATTTCATTGTCTCCCAATAACTCTCCTCCAATGGCAACCTCCAAAATTTCTCCCCACTGATTTCTGAAGCTGCAAATACCTCCTTCGCCAGGTCATCACTTGGTGTGAAGACGCCTGAAAGGAAAAGTTTTAACATCACGTAAACAGATATGACAGCTTTCAGAAATCCTATCCCAGCAGAAACGAGACTTTGCATTACTAACCATTTACTAAATGCTTGTAAGAATATGTTTATACCTGCTATTGAGGGTCCAAGAGCAACTACACAAGCACCCGTTAAGGTTGCCAGGTCAACAATCTGCATAATATGATAGTGTTAGCATTAATAGAAATCGTTATGTACCATACATCAAGAAAGTACAAACAAATAAACTTTTCAACAATTGCACAGTTCTAGAACTCAATTCTGATGAAAGAAAGACCAGTTAATAGTTACAAAACTAGCACCGATATTACAGATACAAAATGCATAGCCATGATGCATCACCACATGAATACCTTATCAACACCTTGGTTACAAGCATATACCAATGCGTCTGCCAGAGTAAGTCTACCCTCAGCATCAGTGTTATTGACCTGCAGCAGAAATTGAAGCAAATAGACCGTTAGTTCATAAAAACATGGATTTGCATATAGTGAATCAATTAGACGGTTAAACCTCTCATCAGCTAGAAAACATCTGCTCAAATCAAAGATAATGCGTAAAATAATTCTTCACGTTATGTTAAGCACATTTTAACAATTAGTCAGAAAACATACCTCAATTGTCTTTCCATTTGATGCTGTCACAATGTCTCCAGGCCTCATACCTGTTCCACTTATCATATTCTCACAAGCTGCAACAATGAAATGAACCTGCACACACAATACCCATTATTGATCCATACTCGTGTACATCACTAAAAACTGCAACAGATCAATCATACACTATCCCAACGATAGAAACATGGAAAACACGATGACTTACTTCTACACCAGGCGGTTTGATTTGAGCAATGGCTTTTGCTGCACCTAATATGGCTGCTGAACCTCCCATATCAAATTTCATGAGTTCAACTGAACAGCCAGGCCCTGTCTTGATGTTGTAGCCACCGCTGATAACATAAAAAGATAAACCAAACAACACAGAGTCAGCTCATTGATAAAGAGAAAAAATGGTGTACACAGTATGAGAGTAAATGAACAACACTTACTACTATAGTACTATATAGACTTCATGCCACCATGAAACTCAGTAACTAACCCCTTTACCACAGACACATTGTAATATCACAAAATTTACAGGCAGCTAAACCAAACTGTTCTATTTTGCAAGAGCTAAAAGAACTAGGAGCAAAAAGTTCATTCTAAATAATTTGCAATTACCTGTCAAAGGTCAGTCCTTTACCAACCAACCCTAATTTGACCTTAGCAGGTCCACCAGGGGGTTTGTAAATCAAGTGAATAAAATGTGGAGGATTTGCTGAGGCTGCGGCAACAGCCAAATAAGAACCCATTTTCAGTTCTTTGCATTGCTCTTCATTTAATACATTTGCAGACAGAACATCACTGTATGTGGAAGCAATCTTTGAGGCCTCTTCAGCTAGTTTCCCTGAGACATAATAAACATTGCAGACAGTCAATAATAGGAAATATCTCAATGAACAGGGACTGACGAACGAAAAATTGGGAACTACCAGTATAGGCCAGCTAAATGGAAACACTACGGAGAATCCAGATTTTCATTACTGGTCAACGAACTAAATGAAGAAAGTGCCGCTAAATAACATCGACATTAAAGGATAACAACTGCGAGAAATTAGCTCCTACGAACCAGGTGTAAGAACATTGGCAGGTGAATTTACTAGCTCTTTCCCAAAAATTATTCCAGAAGTAACATCTTCAGCATACTGGAGCTTTTTCTCTACTTCAGGTCCAGTTCCGAGACCAAGAATGTCCACAGATTTTAGAACTGATTCTTTGACTCTGATTTGTACCTATTATCTTCATATATCCCCAGCACAGTTCCTGCAGTAATTCAAGTCATTCCAACATGTTTACCACAACTATTAATATATTACCATATCAGAATACCAAATACCAAATTAGAATAAAGAAAATATTGGGCCAAAGTACCAGAAGCTATTGCAGAAGCAGTATTAGATTTCGCAGAAATCCCCTCTGAAGAGGCAAGCACAATAGCAATGTCACCGGCTTGAACAGCCTTTGCTGCTGCTGCTACAGCCTCACCAAGACCTTGGAAAGCCTCTGTAGACGAAGCAGATTGGCCAAGCCCAAACAAGCCGACCCTCTTCGAGCCAAGACCTGGAAGCCTAACAACTGTTGACTGGCCAGACTTTCCGGTGAAGTCTTCCTCAGAAGATGCTTCAGCCAATAGACCACCAAATGGGAATCTAGCTTCTTCAATACTGAATTTTGAAACTTGGAGTTCTCATCTTTCGCCAAATCTTTCTCTGTGACACCCACTGCAAGTAGGTCTCCTTTCCATTCTGCTGCATCGAGCTCTTTCGCAGCAAAAGAGATCTTCCAGGAATTAACACACATGTCAGTTCAACATATTCAAGTCCTTCCACAACTGAATCCAATATAATCAATCAAAGTCAACATGATCCATATATTTTTTGTTTATATCGTTTTGATTGTATATAAACAAAAAAAAAAATACAATCACCCCACATACAAAGATCGAATCTTTACAGATATAAACCCACCAAATCCATCAAATTACATGAAAAACTAACAATTACAACACTCAACACCTCTAAACAATCGCAAACCCACCTACCAAAAAATCATTTTTCACAAACCAACCCCAAAAAATGATCGAAATTACAACCTTCCATCGACGAACATAGATACACTGGATTGGGAAAGCGATGAGAGAAATATACCTTAGGGGCGTCGATGCAGGATGGGTGAGTGAGGCCGAGATTGGCCTGAGCGAGAGTGTGAGCCATGAGCTTCCCTCTGCGAGAGCACAGGTGTGTAACTGCAAAAGAAAGTCGGAGACTGTGGGCAGACCGTAATTTCGTCAAAAAGGAGGAAGAGTACGAAGGTGAAGTGACGGCAATAAGCGTAGACGCCAAGGACACTACTACGGCAGTCACCATTTTTAAGACCATCTCCAACCCTGGGCTAAAAGCCAAATTACCCCCAAACACTCTCCAACCCATGCTAAAATTTTAGGCTAAATGTCAAATGCTATTTCTGGGCCAAATACCCCCCAGCTTTCCCCCCGGGCTAAATGCGAAATGTTTATCGGAATTTAAATTTTTTTAGATTAAAATGTTTATAAAATTAATTTACAATAATCTACATATTTATTTAAAAAAAAAAATTGATTTAAGAAAAAAATTTAGGCTAATTTCATTCTTTAATAATTCCGGGCTAAAATTTTAGGGTAGAATGGTTGGAGCAGAAAAGATGTTTCTGGGCTAAAAAATTTGGCTTTTAGCCCAAGGGTTGGAGATGGTCTAAGTGTTGCCTAGTCCTCTGTATTTATAATGAGCCAGCCTATAGACGATCGAGGCCTTTACAGGAAGGAATTTTCATTCTTTTTTAAACGGATGATTTAGTGTAAAAATATTATGTACTAAAAATAAATAAAGAAAAAAATGGGTGGTTGTTGAGTTCACATTATATCGAACTTTAACGATTCGAACTGTTTATTTTTCAAGTTGCACTCCATAAATATTTTTTGCAAAATATTAGTCAAATTGAAAATATTTGAGACATATAGTTGAATTTAAAAAATTTGACGAACACTTTTTTTACAATAAATAATGAAATTTCATTGTGATAATTAAATGGTCAAATCGTTTCATATTGATTTTTTTTTTTTTTTTTGCAAAATTGATCTATGAATGGAGATTTAAAAATAAACAATTTCGGATCGTTGAAGTTCAGTGTAGAGTGATCCCACAACTATCCCATTTTTTTTCAAAAAATATGAATTCTTTTCCTTTTAGATGATAAAATAAAGGGAACTTTAACAAAAAGCACCCGGTACTGTTCACTTTAACGAAAAACCACATTTTTACACTAAAAAATCAATCCTTGTACTATTCACTTTACCCTTTATTTTGTCCTTATCATTAAACTCAAAGTTTTCAAGCATTTTTCATTAGTTTTCCTTAAAATTAAAACCATGTTCTGAATTTTCAAATGTCTTTTTATTTTGAGGATTTTTTTTTCATTTTTATTATTTATTTTATGTTTTGGGCTTAGGTTTAATTCCAACATCCGGCATGCAGTCCATGGAGATCATCCAAATGGTTGGGCTCGACTCCAGGCCCGGTTTCTCTTTTTCTAATTAAGAGAATCATATTTTCCAAATGGTCCGATTATCTAATCACGAGACATGTTCGACCATCAAATAAGCATATTGATATGTTATCGATTATTAATGTGTCATTTATATTAGTAATGTTATGAAAACGTCTTTACAAACCAAGGAAAATCATTTTTAACTAAAACTTTAGGTTATGTGACCCAGAGTTCAAATAGTCATTTCTCTACTACGACAAGAGTTTATCGCCGTATTAGTATTTCTCTTGTATATTTCACTCTTATATTAGAATCTTTCGTTATGACCAAAAATACATATATCACTTGTTGTACAACAGATTCTCCCATTTTCCCTCTTTTATAATGCTCTCCTACTTGAACGCTCAAGATTATAGCATGTCAAGTTTAGCCTTCTCTATAGAGAGAGAGGAGGACACCGAAGAAAAGATGAAATGGGAGGAGAGAGAATCAAACTCCGTAAAACAATGTCTTGTCCTTCCTATCAAGAACGAAATTCCCCCACTTTTGGAGGTTTAAGCCATCCTAAAAGGTTTTCATTTTTCTAAAGACAAGAATAATCGTACTATTAATATTGGTAAAAAAAAAAAAACCATCTTTATTCTCCAATGCAAATGCAAATTTGTTTCACTTTCTTAATAGATAGAGTTTTGAGTTTTTACCCATACATCACTGGTTTGAAACTGTCAGTCGCCTCAATAAGCTTGGATCCAATAAGAAAGAATCAATGCTGCTGTCCTTGTTGCAACAATTTTAATTTGTGCGGCTATAAAAACATCCTCACCCAAATTCTAAGTAACATAACTTATATTCTCACAGTAATATTGGACCTGGTAATAAAAATCTGATATTATATTTAACCAAAACCTATATGATTAGAAATCAGAAGACTGTAATATATTAATTAACACAAAAAAATTTATTTCAGATGACATTATTCACATAACTTCTTTCATAAGAAAGTAATATTCTATGTATTTTGGGACCTATCTTACTCTACATTGGTCTCATTCGTTGTAAAAGTTTGTATATCAACCGGAATTCAAGCTCATGAAATTGTTGATCTTGTAGCGATTGAATAAAAAAAAATGTTATTTCACCCAAACCTAGATCATGCCCTAACCAAGCCAAAACATAATTAGTTACTAATAAGTACAAATTATCGATAATTTAAGTATGTAGCTTTTTATATGCCTGTCATATAGAAACTTAAAATAAAAAAATAAACAATGACGTGACAACATTTTGTTTGGATTGGCAGGCCGACCTTGAGGTAGTCGGATAAGGCAATTGCTTAGATAGGTTCAAATTTTTATTCTATATATACTGTAGATAATATAAATCAATAAAAGTAAGCCAAATTTAACAAATGTGTACCTGGCGTGGTGGTAATAGAGTGTGTAATGTTTCTCGGCGTTTGCAGTTTGAAATTCGATGGTGTTGCATATCAATTTACAAAGGATCGAAGATCATAAAACTCTTGTGACTCCCAAATTTTCATCTTCTAATGAAGAATGATGCACGTGTCAAGCACGTGAAACCTTTATTTGATTTTGCCAAAATTACCCTTGACTGACCGCCACCGGTTTTATTCTCTCTGGTTCTCTCAGTCTCAACTCAGAGTACAGAAAAGAAAAGAAAAAAGAGGAAGAGAAGTAAAATGGTGCGAACGAATCTGAAGGGGGAGACGATGGGCCTGATGGAGAAGAGGACTGCCCTGGAGGCGGAGATCAACGCCATCATCGAGCGTCTTACTCAGCCCGGCGGCCCTGGAATCTCCGGCAACCTCCTTGACTCCGAGGTCAATCTTTTTTTTCTTTTTTTTTTAATTTACAATATTTGGGGATTTAGGGTTTTTGGTGTTCCGTCCTCTTCGAATGTGTAGGGTTTTCCTCGCGAAGACATTGACATCCCAGCTGTGCGAGCGGAAAGGCGTCGTCTTGCGGGTAAAAAAAGGATATTTTAGTGTTGTATTTGAACAAATTGCATATTAAATTAATCGCAATAAATTGGGGAGCTTTGTTTATTGCTTCTAATGGAGGTTCTGATGTTGGTATTTGTTATTTCTTTGTGTTCTTGCTTGTAATTGCAGAATTGCGAAATGATCACAAAGAGGTTACCGAGAAATTGAACCGAAATATAGAAGTTCTGCATTCGGCAAGGCTTACTCCGAAACAATCATCACTCAAAGATTCAGGTAGGTTTTTGAAACCCGGCATGCATATTATCGTTTTGGTAGGAAAGTTATATTTTCTGCGGTTTAATCTGTTTCGTGTTTTGATATGTATTGTGTGTATGTGAGTAGTGAGTGCCTGTGCATTGTGAGAATTCTGAGATTTATTGGCCTTTCCAGATAGGAGCTAAATATAAATTGTACTGTGTATCTATCAAGATATGTGACACCTGCATTTTTGTCTAATGTTTCTGTGATGATGGATGTCAGATGGCCAAAGCGCATCAGTTGTCAACGTGGTTGTATCTGCATCCTCAACCAATGTTCATACTGGTTCTACCAATACCATGGATGTGGATGTGATTGTGAGTGTACCCTTTGCGTTGGTGGATGAGATAGCTGATGAATCACCAGCAGCAGAGGATGGTTTGCAGCTTGGAGATCAGATTGTTAAATTTGGTAGTGTAGAAAATGGCGATAATTTGTTGCAGAAACTTGCTTCCGAGGCTCAAGCTAATCAGGGCCGTGGGATACCTGTAATACTTGTAAGGCAAGGTGCTCAAGTCAACTTAACCATGACACCTAGACATGGCAAGGCAGGGGTCTACTCGGGTAAGTGTCGTTTCATTTCGTTTCATTTTTCTTTTGTTAAATGCATTCATGATTTGATTACTTGTCATAACTTCTTTGTTAGGGAGGGCACTGGTTAACATTTCGTGTTAGTGCTATTGAGGTTCATAAAAGTTCTCCAAAGAATATATAATTGACAACTTTTTCAGTAAATTTCCGATGTTCATCAAGTAACATTGAATTATTGTTAATCTTTCTTCTGAGTCTAACATCCAATCTAAGAACGATATCGTAGAAAACCTTTGGTCAGGAAATTGTTATATTGCCAACTCAGTTTGGATGGTGAGATTATGAACCCTTTGGTCACAAATTGCCTACCATTATTACGTAGGCGGGTGCTATTTGGAACGTTGTGCCCAACCTAAAGCTTGCTTTGCTAAACAAAACAACACATCCTTAACCAACCTGGTCCGTTTTTCTATTTTTGCAAGAAATATGTAGTATTTTGATTCACTTACTATTTGTTGTTTTGTCGGTACTTGCAGCTGCCATTTCCGGATCTTGTGAGCGTTCTGTTTTCCGGTTCTTCACAAGCCAGAGGACTCAAAGACAGTTTAATGAACGTTGGTTAAGATGGTGCTACATCTTCTCTTCGACTTCTTTCTCTGCCGCGAAAAAAAAAAAAACACGTTTAAGTTAATGGTAGCTTTCAGAAATAGCCCTTTTTATTACATCATGTGTGGTTTCCTAAAGTCTTTCTACAGCTTCATTGCAGCTGCATCAAGCTCATTTGTGAACCGTGTTGCATTGACAAATGAAAAGTTTTTCGGCGTGATTGTCACACCGTTATATGTTATTAATAATGCCCTTGTGACTGAAATATTTGTGTCTTTCCAAATTGTCAAACTCCAATTAAGGTCATGCCAATATGATGGCTGTCACTCTCACCTGTAGCTTAGCCCATCTTCAAAGGGCAGATGAGGCAAGATATTGCATGTTTGTAATTTATGGTTTAGTCGAACTGAATGGGGAGAGTATATAAAATCTATTTACTCGAGTTTAAATTTCTTTTTTCGAAGTTTAAATTAATTTAATGTAGATTATCGTTTTGTTTACAAAATATTCTACCTTTTGTATGGTATTTTGTAGATTATATATATATATTCATTGAGCTCAAAACTCAATGGTTGCTTCTACCGTTTCCACTAAAAAAATTAGAAACTATTTGAATTATATATTTAGTAATAAGTTGTGAAGGTGAAGTGTGCTATTTAAATATTTGGGTAGCAAACCATCTTAAAACACCAAGAAGTGTGTTATTAAATAAGGTATTTGAGTTCTTTTTTATATAATAAATAGTTTAATTCCATTTTTTAGTTGGCTATGAATTCTTATATAATTTATTGAGTAACATCCGGAGGACACAAAATGGATAAACAAAATTTTCTCCTCCTGAACATCAAAGGAATTAGAAACATTATCTTTACATAAAAAAAGGGTTAACAGACTACGACCCCCTCATCATCTACGGGTCTTATTTCGTTTTATCTAATCACTTTAATAACATACTTATTTACAAGTTTACGTTGAAAAGCTTAACTCTAATGATAAGTAGTTCAAACTTTTCAATGAACTAATAACTCGTTTGGAAATACTTTTAATTGACTGGATGTGCTTTTGGTAAGATTGATTCTGCATTTCAAAATCACATCAAATGCTTGTTGGAATAAGTGCATATCTAGTGCTTCTTACTGAAAGCATTTCGAGGTATTTTTTTAAGATCACTAAAAACACTTTCAATCAATTTAAAAACACGTTCAAACGAGTTCTAATTTAATTTTACGTTTTGTATTAACTTTTGGAGAAAAAAAAAATTAACTAAAAAGGAGAAATATCTTTGTATATTAACTTTTAGTGAGTAGAATGAGTGGAAATTTGAGCAGCGCGGCAGGCGATCAATTTTACCGGGCACACCGGCTCTTTAGGTCACCCGACGAGAAAACAAAACAGGACAATCTTTCACTCTCTATCTCTCTGTCTTTTGCTCTCATTCTGTCTCTCTCTCTCTCTCTCTCTGTGTCCAAATTCAGGGAGAGGAAAATTTCAATTTCTGGAGATCGAAGCCATTTTGCTCCTCAGTCCTCACAAAAACCCACTTTCCCGCATTTTCCCGGAGACTTTCTTTTTTTTCCCGGAAAGTGAAGAAAGCATGGGAATTGCAAAGAGACCATGTCTTTTGTGTCAGCTTTACTCTTTCCAGGTGTTGCAGGGACCAAACCACATCGTTTTCGTTTGAAAAACCTGTGCTTTACTGCCTCATTTCTTTCAGATAGTTGATTTTCCACAGAAGTTAAGAGTGGGAATATCTGGGTTTGGAGGCTATTTGGAAGCTCATATATAAAGCCCTTGCTTTGGCACCAGAAGGTGAAGCTATTGTTCTTTCAATTATTTTCTGTGAAATTGTAAGTGGGTTTTGAATTTCTAGGGATTTTGGGCATCTGGAATCTGGGGTTTTGGAAAAATGGGGGCTTTAGTTGGTTTCTGTGAGAGGGGTTTGAGATATTGGATTGGTGAAATTTTGATGATTTGAATGTGAATGGACCAAAAGGGGTAGGAGTGTAACTTTGGGGCTGGGGGATCGTGTGGCTGAAAAGTTGAGATCTGTTTTGGGAACTTGAAGAGCAAAGTCAATGAATGTAGCTACTGCAAGTGTCAAATCTTATATACTTTCAGAGTTTTTCTGGTGATTTGAGCTTTTGAAAGTGAAAGAGAAAGTGGGTTTCAGTGAATTTCGAAGATGGGGTTTCGATGATTTGAGGCGGCTCAGGCAAATTCATAGTCGGGTTGGTTTTGTAGTTTTTTATTGGGGTAATAAAGCTGAGATCTTTAGAGAATTTGGTGTTCAACCAAAGGAGTGATATCGATGTCAGGAGCTCCAAGAGTAAGGTCTATCAATGTGGCTGATTCAGAGTCAAGGCCAGTGCTTGGACCTGCTGGGAACAAGGCAGGGACGTTCAGTGCGCGAAAACCGGCTTCAAAACCACTGAGAAAGGCTGAGAAATTCGGCGAGGAGGTTTCATCAGCTGAAGAGAAGAAAACCCGTCAATCTCCAATGCTTACTACCTCTCCTCAACCGCATTCACCCAAGGTTCATTCAGTGCTTCGTCGGCACGAGCAGCTATTGCACTCTAATCTTTCGCTAAATGCATCTTGTTCATCGGATGCCTCTACGGATTCGTTTCATAGTAGATCATCCACGGGTAGGCTGATTCGATCAAATAGTGTAGGGAGTGGGAGGAAGCAGTATGTTTCAAAGCCGAGAAGTGTTGTTTCTGATGGTGGATTGGACTCTCCTCATGATGGTTCACAGTCTAAGAAGAGATGCGCTTGGGTGACGCCAAATACTGGTTCGTTTTCATTTCTTTGATTCTAGTCAAACTGTTTGCGTTGGTAATTGTTTATGGTTTTCTAGTTAGAAATGTAAATCTTCTCTGGATATATTCTTATCTGGTAAAGCATACCATTAGAATTTCTAGAGTATATATCACATCCCCTATTGTTTTCTACCATCTTGAGCTTTGCTTTTGGAAAATTTGAGGGAATTTACTGACCAAAATGCTAATTTGGGGCACGGTTTAGACTAGCAGTAGGACTGTCATGATTTAGTTCATAATTCAGCAAAGCGTAGGCAATTTATTCTTCACGCCCCATGCCCCCTCTGATTTAAGATTAGACTTGGCGATGTAGATACGAGTTAGCATCAGTTCAAAACCAAAATGACTAGGATGCAGTTCGTATTCCAACAAGATAAAAGCAGTTTGTACCTTAGAACGAAGAGCTTCAAGTTAAGGGAGCATAAAGTTTGTGAATAGGCGATTTTAAATAAATTTGGTTGATGGAAGTAATTATGTTCAAGGCTTAATTTGGATTACTCTCTTCAGCTCTTGTATGAGAGATCCAATGAGTATATTACACTGTTCTGATGTCCAAGCCAAACAATTGTAGTCACTCAGCGGCTATTATTTTGATTTTGTCTCCTTTTTTATGAATAATTCACATTTCACGTTATTGGTGCATGAATGATAGAAAACAGATATATAACTGCAGAAGTAAACAATTTGCGAAAGTTGTGCATTTCTGCTTATTGTGTGCTTGTCAAATGAATCCAACCAAAGAGGAGGGGTAAGCTTAACCTTGCCAAGCATTGTGGAGGTAGAATTACGTTAATGTTAGCTTAGACACTCACTTTGTATAGTTGAAACAAATAGGATTTTCTACATGGCTTGGAATTCTTCTTCCGGATATTTATATTCTGATAGAGCCTGGTATGTTGAAGCAGATCCATGTTATGCTGCTTTTCATGATGAAGAATGGGGGCTTCCAGTACACGATGATAAGTAAGTCATAGCAACACTATTTGCATATATGTTGACAGTAATGACTATTACTTTATAAAAATATACTTCACCATCATTTCTTTATCTTCTTGATCACATGCAGGAAACTGTTTGAGCTTCTGGTCCTATCAGGTGCTTTGGCTGAGCTTTCATGGCCTGCCATTTTAAGCAAAAAACACATCTTTAGGTATTGTCTCTGTGAAAGTTTTCTTTTCTATTTACCAACCTACTTACCCTGAATTATTTTCGGTACAAACTGTTGGGGCCTTTTCAGTGATGGTCCCTTCCTTGTTGAATGGGTATTTTTTTTTTTTTGCTTTCAGGGAAGTTTTTGCACATTTTGATCCCATTGCCGTTTCAAAATTGAATGAGAAGAAGCTAATAGCACCAGGAAGTGCTGCGAGTTCCCTATTGTCTGAACCGAAGTTGCGTGCTGTCATTGAGAATGCACGTCAAACAACCAAGGTATACGTTCATTTCCCTCTCCAATTGTTTGAGATTGAATTGCAGAAGATGCACACTCATTCCAGCTTAGTAAACCACTACTAACTCATATAGGGAAAGTACTAGAAATCATATGCTTGTATGCTTTTCCATCGCAAACTTACCTTTTCAATGATACCCAATAAAAGCAAACTTGGCAAGTTTTAGTATACTTTTACTAGTTTTATTTATGCATCAATCTATGAGTAATTTTTTCGGGTGACGCTAACACCAATGATCCACTCATGTTGGAACATATGGATCTGTTTGTTAATGCTATCAACCATATTGCTATAACACGTGGATTAGTAACACCAGGAGGCCGTGTCAGCGTCACACCCAGAAAAATTCTCTCTTTACAAGCCAAATAGCCTCATTCGCGGAGTTTTCTCCAGTATAGACCCGGGGACCCACATGTTTTCTGTTGTTTGTGCAAGCAATTAAGTGGCATATAATGAGTAGTTAGTGATCATTTGGTCAAGTAGGTTAGGTCAAAAAAGTAGTTGCATTGTGGTCCTGAACATCTTTGTTATTTGTATCACAATAGAGGACAAATCATAGTTCTATCATCCTTTGTAGGAGCCTAACCTTCCATCATACCTCAACAATTGCTCAACCAACCTAATTATTCCCTTTCTTCGGCATGCCAGCTCGCTTCATTACTAGTCCTGAATTCACTTATCCTTATCCAACTCGATAGTTTTCCAGCCGTTCAATCAAAATATCCGAAAACCCTTTTTACGGAAGGCCATGATTGCAGATTGCACATTTCTTTAATCTCTATCATTGCAGCTAACTTTTTGCAGGTTTTGCTGATGCCAGGTCATAGAGGAATTTGGGTCATTTGACAAGTATATCTGGAGCTTTGTGAATAACAAGCCCATCGTCAGCCGATTCCGGTATCCTCGGCAGGTTCCGGCAAAAACTCCAAAAGCAGACGTCATAAGCAAAGACCTTGTAAGAAGAGGGTTCCGGAGTGTGGGGCCCACTGTCGTTTACTCTTTCATGCAGGTCGCCGGAATCACCAACGACCACCTCATTGGTTGCTTCAGATTCCAGGAGTGCGTAAACGCCGCGGAAGGGAAGGGAGAGAACGGCACCAAGGATGAGGCTGGAAAGAAAACGGAGAACGGGATAGAATCGGAGTTATCGGTTGCCATAGACGAGTTGAGTTTCTCGTCGGACTTGTGAAAGGCAATGCCTTTGGTCAGCTCAGCAGGGTTTAATCATCAGTTAAGCCGCATTGACCGATTCGGAGCTACTCTTTGTATTGAGTAGTAGTGAAGAGGGTTTTGTGTTGTAATTAATGAAATTCTGAAGCAAAATATGGATTCTGGCAATGTGGATTACTGAAGTGGATTAAAATTAAACTGGTGATTTTGCTGTTGCTTGAGAGAGCCTTCAAAAACACTACAATGCAATTTTGTGTACAGTTAAGATATTGGTAATTAGATCTCTTTAAAACCGGATTAGGGTACTAATTAATTAAAAAGAAGGAAAAAGAAACTGAAAAAAAAAAAACCACTACAATGCTTCACAATCTGAATTAAAGGGTGACTTCAAGCTAACAAGGCTTGTTGGCTTCCTGCTTTGCGACGGTTGTTGACTCCACAACTTGAATCCGGACCTTCAGTCACAATGAAGAAACATTTTCGTTACATCAAGGTCGCCCTCTACAATTTATCATTTCAAAAATTTTACTATGCTCTGAGGTATTTTATACACTGAAAATTTGAGTGTTGGATAACCAACCGCAAATCTTGAGATATATAAGATACGTTGGAGTATACTAGAAATTAATCGAGGTTTGACCTAAAAGTTGTGGTTGACAGCTGGTGGTGGTGACAAATTGACAATGAAGGATCTGTAGCACGATGTCTCCTTGTCTCCAATAGGACAGCCTGACGGGGGAACTCCTTATTGATAGACAAGTCTGCGTTGAATTTGGTGGCTCGCCAACATCACCTAAAATGTGCGGCCCCACTCTTTTTATTTCAAGTAGGGAGTGTCGACGGGTCGTGTTCGGTTTTACTTATTTATATATACATATGGTAGATTAACATGCAAAACGATGTGAGGATAGTAATATAATATAGTAACTCACACATTGATGACAGACTGATCCTCGTCCTTATGCAACTTCAGCAGCACATGAGGCAGCATCTTATTTTTATCTCTGAATCAAACGGTATGCCAAAACAAAATTGGTGTCTCCAAATAATGTATCCGTACAAGTTCGATGCATCAGTACAAGTTTCGACCCAAATTGAAGATTTCAAACCTTTGCTCGTTTTTCACTATACCAACCCTTACAAATTTCGAGTCGTGTTGTTGGATGCAGACTAATTAGGAAACGATTCTGCCTCCTGCCCCTGTTTTCTTTTTTATTTTATGCAATCCCACCAAATTGAGCAAATTGAGATAATGACTGGTGGATAATATAAAAAGAAAAAGAAAGAATGGCATCCGAGGGCAACCCACATCCCATCTTTTTACCTCAAGGACTTGACCAAAGGGTGAGACGAGTCTAGCCGTCGAGCTGGTCAAGCTGCCCTACTCAAGTTTTTCTCGTTTGATACCACGCGCATGCTCGGAATTGAATTTTTAAACGAATGACATCCATTTCTATATTGTTTCACTGCCATCAGCCTAGTTAAAACAAGATGCAAGGGTGTACAATACCAAATCTCACGTCTAAGCACTATTAAACTACATCTGAAAGGTGAAAAACACCAAGGAAAAGGGGGAAAATAATCAAACCTGCCAATCTGATAATTTTGTAATGCTATATAAATACACTGCAGCTTTTATGAGAGGGAGAGAGAGGCCCGACGATTATGATGTTCCTTATTAGTCCTTGGGCCGGCAAAGGAGCTTTCAGCAAGGCTTTATTTCAAATCCAATGCTCAGAAGAGTTCGAGCCGATTCCATTGCCTTCTCTCCTCCGAGGTCCAAGGCCTCCCTTGTCAATTCTCCACCAGTGTCTACCGACCACTGGGTTGGCGAAATTGGCTTTGGGTCTGTATCGGTTTTCTTGATATGCAAATTGTTCATGGAAGCAGGAGCGGCAGCAGCAACAAGAGGAGCGCTTGGAGGGCCATGTCGCTTCTTAGGGACAGGCATTTCATGGTCATGTACCCCCTTGTATGTTATAATTACAGCACTTGAGTTATCTACGGCTGTTTCAATCTGCTTCCGGACTGGACACCCAGCAGAAGTACATCTGTAGTAGTTCCTGAAAAAAACAAGAATACAACAATTGATCAAAATCAAAGGAACGAATACATGTCGTATTTATCATAAAGCTCCGAATGCCAGCTCTGAATATATACCGTTCACTATTTTTACTTGTACATACACACTCTAGAAAAGTGGCAGATCTCCTTTATAACAAAAGTTTCGATTAAAGATACCACAAAATGCGTTAAAAGATTTCTTTGATGAGTATCATCTATGATCTGCTTACCTCTTCGAAATGCAAATAAAATAAACGAAAATGAATACAGCTTACATGTTAGAAATGCAAATAAACGAAAGTGAATTCAGCTAAGATTGCTTAAGAGTCAATCACTAATTGGATCACTGCATTTTTGAGTTGTTCCAATTGTATCTTTCACAAGTTAACTGCGGTGTGAAGTTATAAAGTAAACATCTTGTACAAAGGAAAGATGAAGTTTATGTAAAAATAACGCCTACTGGACATCATTTAACCCACATACAAAAATGAATTTAAATCCCAGATGCTGATTAATTAGGCTAACATCAAACTACCAAGGAAAAAAAACTAGGAAATTGGAATGCACCTGGGATGAGGATTTCCTTTCACCATCTTCTGTCCATATTTGCGCCATCTGTATCCGTCGCCTGATATTCCAACATCCCCAGCCGCATGCACAACTAATTTAGGTTTCTTGCCAGGTTTTGAGAGAGAAGCGGAATATTTTGAATTGCTTTTCTTCATTCTGGTTATCAATGAGGAAAGTATATTAGAACCAGGTGACATACTCCTTTCAGCAAGTATAGTACAAAATAGAGGGGGGCGAAAGGAAACAAAATCTACACGTAAACTTGCCTTCGTTTGGGTTCTGGCTCATCACCATCACCATGTTCCTCCTTGATTTTAACATCGCCATTATCATCAGAGTCACTTGAGCTCTGCCGTTTTCTTTCAGGAATTGAGGGTGTTTCTTCAATAGGTTCTTTTGAAGATGTGGACAACTCTGAGTCATTAACTATTCTGCAGGAATGTTCTGCAGCAGCAACTCTATATCTTACACACTCAGCAGAGAGTGCAAGTTTACTTTCCTTTATGCAGATACTTTTCCGAGGGGGATCATGAGTATGTTGGCTTTTGTAAACAATCTCTGTTACATGGCCTGAGTGATCACAGCGTTCTATCTTCTTGGCATAACACTCAGAAAATGTGCACCTATAATAGCTTCGAGAACCTTGAGGGCTCTTTACTTGCTTCTGACCATATTTCCGCCAGTTGTAACCATCAGAAGCAGATGTCTTCCCATGAGGAACTCTTCGTTCTAGTGGAATTGGGCTTGGAGCAGATGAAATGGATTGAGTGACAGAAGTTGGAGATAGTTCTGAAAACGGAGTTGGATAAACAGTCAACTGAGTCTGACTTTGCTTCGGAGTCTTATGGTTCGCTACACTTGCCAAATTTTCCTGGTGGCTCAGCCCAAGTTGCTCCTGAGAAAATAACAAAGAAAATGATTATACAACCACAATGTATTTGACTTTTGATAACAAGAGGTGTAATATTCTGAAGTTGCACGTAATTCAAACGATGTTATACAAGATGCATCTAAAATACTCTAACATCAAAGTGAGAACAAGAGGAAAACAAATACAGTGAAGCAACTAATATTCCATCTTGAGTCAACTGAATTTGCCTTCTAGTGGATCTATCTTAGTCATACTTCTGATATTATCAGATCACCGAGTGACCAAATTTCCTACTTTTGAATGTTTGCATTTGAGTTTAATACATCCTTCCGTAAAACCTCATTCCCGATATGATGTGGGGTACCAGGGGTGTTGTATTAAGGTGAAACTTGTTGTTCTTTTGAGCCATTAATAGTTGATACCAGGCTAATAACTTTCAGTGATGCAAATTTTTGCTTGTTATTGTCTCTTCGATGATTCTCTTCCAATTACTCAAACATCGCTTCACTCGCCTCTCCAAAACGCAAGCAGAATACAAACCTTTCCCTACTTGGTACCTAAGAGCGCGTAACACTTGCAAATCAACGTTAACTGCGACGTCGTAATCACAAAGATTTCAGATTCATGATTCCAACCCTCAAACAAGAACTTAAACAAACATTTTTGCCCTTCCCCCACATAAAACGCATTCATAATTTCGATATCCTACCGGAAAAAAAAAATCAAATTTCTAGTCCTAATCTGCTCTATCCTAACGCAGAAATTTACAAAACAATCAGTAACTGCACACATACAAAAATGCTCGCGATTCACTTAGCCAATGATCAAAAGCTCAAAAATTTCAAAGGATTGAACTTCTAACCTGCAATCCAGCTCCATCAATCGACTGTGACACGGACTCAAGCTGCAAACCTGTAGGATCAACCACACATGATCACCACCCTTCACTATAATCCCACCCAAAAAAAGCACCGTTTTCCGAAAAAAAACAAAGCTTTACCTGCAAACTGATCATTCCCTGAAACTTCCAGCGTCGAAGGCGCCGTTGGGGTTTCTAATCGCGTCTGTCTCAACTCGGATACAGAACTCTCTAACTCGCCGGATTGAAATTTACCGAGTCGTTGTTTTTCTTTTTCGTCTCCGTCGCCGCCTTCTTTTTGTTCTTGTTTCCTTGGCTGTAGTTTCTCTGCTGGGAGAGCATGGGAGCTCTCGCGGTGCTCCGCCATGGCCGATTTGTCACTCTGAGAGAGTAAAGTTCGTCGAAACTGTTGGTGTCCGAAATCGAGCCGAAATTTAGACCGGAACCGTGAAAAGTTCCGGATTTTGTGTACCGGTTTAGATTAGGCGAGAGAGAGAAAGGCGGAGAGAAGGGGTTGCTTTAAATAGTGGGGGATGTATGTGTGTGTCTTTGACTAAAGTTGACTCAGGTGGTTTTTAACTTTTTTTGACGGTGTATCCGAAGCCGTTAATATCTCCGTTAAATCAGGTGCAGGGATTGCCGTGGGTTTTGTTGACTTGACGGTTTCCTTAGGCTGCCGTTTGGTCTCGGACATAGTCCTCTTAGCATTTCTCATGCAAATGTGACGCATACTTCCAAGTCCCAACACGTACTCAACTCTCGAAGTGAAATTTTTCATAAATTCTATGACATATCTTATTTTTGCTACGATGTTGATAATATTAATATGAAAATTAATGATAAATAATAAAGTGACAGATAACCTATTGAATATCTAATCTTAAGAGAGTCCTTAGTATTTCTATTTTTGCATTAATCTTAAAAGATTTCATTCTCACTTCTATTAAAACAATAGTTGTTAGTAAGTACGTAAGCAATTTTATTATGTTTTAGTGTAAGATATTTATTAGATAAATAAAGGGTTGTATGTGTAGGCCTTGTAGTAAAAGATTTAATAATTTAAATATTTTATATTGTGAATAAAAAGGTGTGGTTAAGTAAAAGTCAAAAAAGTAAAAAGTGAATGGCAAAGTGTTTTATTCCGTGAGAGGAGATCTCCTCCGGATCTTTTTCATTAAGATTACTGAATCAAATGATCCGGATCTTTCAAATTTCATTCGACAGTACAAAATTATTACAATTTTTAAGGGATCAAAACAGACGAACCGTCGGATGGAATTTAAAAGACCCAGATCACTTGATCCGATAACTTTGGTGAAAGAAATCCAGAGAGGATCTCTTCTCTTATTCCATCATCTTGTTGAGAATATTTATTTGTTTGAAGTGTTTCTGGTTATGGTAAAAACACACTTTCACTTTACCAAAATATTGATTAACAGTTTCCAATTAAAACTGCTTTCATAAAAGATTAAAGTTTAAAGGGAGTTTCTTAAGCTAACATCATAAAAACCACGGACCATTGAATTTTTATCGTTCCATGTATTGTAATAGCATCGAAACCTCCAGGTCGGGTTCGGTTGAGGAATGGTAATACCATCATCGCTCCATATCCCTTACCAATAACCGTCACCACACACCCAAAGGTCCGTGTTTACGACACCATGAACCTAGAGGTCCATCGTAAACACGGGATGATGAGTTTAATACTTCATGAACGCATTTAGGCAATACAGACTCGAGGAAAAAGCGGAGGGTAACAAATATTCAATAAGTGTAGAATCATCAAACATCACAAGAACATCCGAAACATCGCAAGATAAACCTTAACAAAAATCATACATAAGAACATCTTTCTTTTATCCGAAAAAAAAAAACCGGAAATAGTTTTCATAGATATGCAGCAAGTTCCCTTTGCCAAGGGATCCGGCAGCTTTAAATCTTCTTCGCGTCGTCACTTTTACAAGCTTGGCAAGATAAAACACCATTTAAAATAAAGGTTCATTGCACAGATAGTATGGTTTCATAAACCTCCCTGTTAGCAACGGTTCCACCAAAAAAAGTAAAACGGATAAACGTCTTGCCATCAGCTACAGCTACTGCTACAGCATCATACTTAATTCTTCGGACCAATGTCCTTAAGGGCACAGATCTGCTCCTCTCCCATGGCAGACATGACAGTCACCACAAGATCCTTTCCATCATTAAACCCGTCCTTGATCTATCAAAACAGATATGAAAAGATTTAGTCGAATACGAAGAAAATAGATGCAATAAAGCAACTTGAGGTAAATGAGTTTTATTTGCTTGATGAGATAGATAGATACCTGGGTAAGCAGACTGTCATCAGTGGGCAGCCTCAGATCATCCTTGGTGTTTCCATTTTCAGTCAAGAGACTCACCTACAACATGTTGAACTCCAGTTAGTTCAGATAAAATGGATGAAAGGCATGTCACTAGAAATATACAACTTCTGTGAGCATAACACAAACAGGGAAGAAAATTATCAATAAAGTCAAATAATAGATGGTTCTATTGTCTTAATGTGCACAAGTTTGTTTCCCTTGGTGTCATGATTATCATCGACGTGCACATACTTCACATAACAAACAAAATTTCTGATGACATGTTCGGAACAAATTGTTAAGAAAACTTACAAAGCCATCCTCAGAGATATCAATCAGCTGATAGTCAGTACGGTTGACATGGGGAACCTGCAAAACAATGGGAGAATGAATGATCCAACTTGAAACCAAGAAATACAACACACATATACATAAATACATGAAAGTCAAGTTTTGCGATAGCATTACATCACAATTGTGGGACGAAGGAACAATATCTTCAAGCTTCTTTCCATTGAAAATATCAATTGCCACAAAGTGACACTTAGCGTGACCGTGCTTTCCGGTTTTGGAAGTGGAGACTTCAACAACCTGCAATGAGGGCAAACAGGATAATAAATGATAATGGATTAAACAAATAAATCATTCACATCACAATGGTTTACAAGGAAGACGAGCAATAACGTCACAGTTCAATCAGTATGACAGACATGAAAAATTGGGATTTATAGTTAAACCATTCGATTTACAGCACAAAAACTTTAGATCTCAATAAGAACCAGTTGTATTCGTGTACGAGTGTGTACGTTCGTGCTAACCCCCACACTTTAACACGACAAATCTAGACATACACAAAGATGCCGTGCATTTAATTGCTAGCACTAATAATTGTAGCAAACGAATGTCGAATACCAAGTATTATTAGTGTATGACTGTATGCGTGCTACACATGAGAGGCAATCTTCATCCGCAAAGCCGAACATAAGTACTTTGTAACAAGAACTACTACAACCTTAAAAACCCTAAATTTTCAACAAAGAAAACGTAATCCATCAAACAAACCCACATGACAAATCTTTCAACAACATCGACATCATTAACATCACAAACAAATAATTATCCCCCACAATAAACATAGGAAATCACGAATAAGTCAATCTTACACCATAAACAAACAAACAAAAAAAACAGTGAATCAACATATTTCAATCAAAACAACAAAACCCAATAAAGATCTCACAAAACCCAGATGGATTTCGACCTAAAACCCCTAAAAATTGCATCTTGAATTCGAAAAATTAGGGAAGAACAAACCTTGCAAGGCCTGGCCTTGATGACGATGTAGCCATTCTTGCGGATGGTACCAGCCTGCTGGGGGTAGGTCTTGGATGCTCCGGCGTCGGCCTTGGATTCGAACTGGTGCTCCTCGTCCGACATCTCTCCTTCTCCCAACTTGATGAGCTTCTCTGTCCCTCTTGAGTTTTTTTTTTTTTTTTTTTTTTTTCCTGCTAAAACACCGAAAGAAGGCGACTTCTGGTTCTGATGGTGTGACGGGCACTATATTCGATCCCTTCTAGGTCAAATACAACCCTGGTTAATCTGATTGAATCTCCACCGTTGGATCTGTGGTTAGCGTTTGTCTCCCCTAAACTCAATGCCTTCAAAAACTTATCCAATACGAATAGGAGAAGCAAGGGAATTATCCATCCCATTTTTATTATTTTATTTATTTATTCCTATCAATTTTCTAATAAACTAAAAAATTATATTTTTAATACTAATAAAATAAACTAAATCAATGTACAGCCTAATATTTATAATTTCTAGTGCGGTTAATTGCACATTTTTTACATGCGTGTTTACGAAAAATGAATTGTGTGTATTTTTGTTTGAAAAAAAAATTGTATGTATTTTCGATATTGTCTCGATTTGGAATCGATAAATTTTTTGCTGAAGGTGCAGTTAACTATACATGAGAATAGCTAAGCACAAGTAAAATTTTATTTACATAAATATAATTTCACTCGCCCACCATGATCTTATCACACAAAAATTGTTGCAAGATAACAGAATATACCCAATAGTGGTGGAATATTTGATCACTGTCAGTAAACAAATTCACCATATGACTCTTATTTTATTTATTTTTCTTACTTTTAAATTTTCTTATTCCAAAATTCATGGTTCCAAAGCAAAGATAAATCTTGGAAAATTAAAAAAAGGTACAAATAAGGACGCCGTGTTGGACTTGGACGGAAAGTGATCATCTCTAGATCATTTTTTAACTAATCCAACTAGTTCGGGATTCGGGCTGTTGAAATTTGATCAAACAGTTACAGTTATTATCATTTTTAAAATGACACCCTGTTTGTAGCCGTTTGATCAAATTTCAACTGTAACATCTCACATCGCCCAGTGGAGTAGATCCTTTAAACATTATATGTATATTATCATCTCTACCTAGCACGAAGCCTTTTGGAAGCTGCTTCGGGTTCCATTGAAACTCCAAAGTTAAGCGAGTTTGCACGAGAGCAATCCTATAATGGGTGATCCACCCTCAGAAACAAAACCGTGAGGGCGTGGTCGAGGTCCAAAGCGGACAATATCGTGCTATGATGAGTCGAGTCCGAGATGTGGTGAAGACCCGGACCAGGATGTGACATCAACGGTCCGAATCCTGAACAAAGTGAATTAGGTAAAAAGGAATCGGGAGAGGATCCTTTCCGACTTGGACCGAACCAAAGAATCCTATCCTCATTACAACTCTTGATGGGCCCAACCATTATTCCGCCAACAAAACCAATTTCTTAGCATACAAATATCCCATCCTATTCGAAAATATTTTATTTTTCTTTGGCTGAACAAAAATTTTTAAATACTTAAATATCTTTTGCAATATAATTTGAAAAAAAAATTGTTATTCAATCTGATTTCAAAAGACATTGAAATAAAAACCTTGTTTAGTAATCAATTCCGACATAACTTTCACAATGAATTCGAACATGTTAAAGAAACGGAGAACCGTTGTAAGTTAAACACAAATTTGACGAGTATATTTCACCATCATCCTGTATTCCATTCCTATATCAAGATTAGGATTCTCTTCCGTCCAAATCTTCCCCCTCCAGTCCCCTCCTTTTTCACTTTGTCTTTTTCTTTTTCTCTGCTATAAATAAGTCAACACCAGATATTAACGTGACTTAATCGTAATTGTACAAATATGAGAGGACTGGAGGGGAGGGAAACCAATGGAAGAGTTGTGCAAAAATGTGTAAAATGAAGGTCAACATATAATCATATGGCTCGCATGCAATGTGATGTACCTTGTTAGTCACAGTGACATTTTATCATAAAACGAGACATCACAGTAATTGTATACACGTGTCATGTAAGTTGTTATTATCGAGAAAGAGAAAATAGTGACATAAAGTTGAAGATGATGAATGAAGATAATCATGCTATTATGTGGGGGTTACAGATAATCTTCAGCTTCATCAATTAATAGTGAAGCAAGATTATACTTTGAACCTTTTGATTAATTCTAGTGATACGGATTATATCTGTAATTAAGTATGTCCCAAAAGCCCCAAGGCAATCATGCTTGATTGCTAAAAAATCTAAACTGAATTAATTACTTACAGAATTCAAATGATAACATCACATTTCCTTTCGATTTCGAAGATTATATCAATCATGAATATTATTGTGATTTATCAAAATATTATTTTGCAAGTTATGGTAATCACTAGTTAGTCCCTAAAAGCAAGAAAAAACATTCCGCCTATGAAAAATGCTAAGGAAACTCTTTCTAAGGATGAAATTTTTCGTGGACTCTATGACACATCACAGTATGACGTTGATTACTGTGTTAACATTATAAAACATTGTGTCAAAAGCATGAGGTGGGTGACAGAGAGTTCGAGTTCGATTTTGAGAGTCTCCTTAGTATTTATCTCCACGTATTTATTTGGTGTCCTGTCTACTGTGGGGGAGGACCACTTAGTTATATTTGATGCTGCATCTTCATGTGGAGTGATTGTGAGGACCATTTCCCTTGCTGAGAAAGGGGAAGAGGCACACATGTAGAAGAATGGTCCATACACATACAAACCCTATAAAAGATCCATATACTTACCCTCATCCCGTTTTCGGAAATACTTTTTAAAAAAACACTTCTGCCCAAAAGCATTTTTTAGTAGAAGCACATCAGTATTTTAACTTCTTTAAAAGCAATTATAAAAATGTTTTTAGTAGAAGCACTTCTAAACAAGCCATAATATATGAAAATTAAGTGCTTAATGGATGGTTAATCTTGGACCACCTCGTTAAATAATTGAAATGGGTCGCATGCTTTGCATTTTATAATTCGAAGTGGTGCAGGAATTTTTCGCATGCGTGCATGTTGCAAATAGAGAGGTTGATTATCTGCAGATTGTGCACTAATAATGCAGTCAAGGAAAGATTAATTGAGTACTTTTTCTAATTCCTCCTCTAATTATCTTCTGTATTAATTAGTCTTTGATAATTAAGCTGCAGTCTGCAGAGCACTTTTGTTCTGCGCATGGTAAAAGATAGATACGAAAGCATGCATAAACTATTGATATTTTGCAGAAGCATGCCCAAGTTGCTACATCTTCTTGTTACTTATGATGACCATTGATATTTTGCAGAAACATGCCCAAGTTGCCACATCTTCTTGTTACTTTTGATTGTTGGCAACTTGACATGCATGTTACTTCGTGTCAAAGTTTCAGATTCACTGCTAACCAAACATCAATAGTTTTTGACGTAATCACTCGTGTAATCCAAATAGGTGCGACATTTTTATAAAAAATCACGATACAATTAATAGTATAATAATTTAATATAGGAGGGATTTAACTTCATGAAATTTCAAATGTGAGACATGTTTCATCAAGAAATAGAACTGACTGATCCTAAGGCAAAGGGTCAAGAAACTCAACATCACTATTCTTGAACAACTTGGGTCGGCCTTCTTTCTTGCACATTAAAGGATACAAAAATAATGGGAAAATTAAATTAAATGTTAATTGTTCCTATCGAAAATAAGATTGACTATGGATTCGAGCCATAGCAAAATGGTTTTTAGAAAACCGTATAGTTTCCGATCTAAATAAAGTAGGTTTACATGAAGGATTTGGCTAAGCATGTTCTAAACACTTCCAATTCTTCCTAGTCCGAAGCATCTGTTTGTAAATAATGAGTGCATTTTTTACATTGCCCCTTTAATAAGTGTAGTTTAATCTATTTACTATACGGATCTCAAAATTTAAACTCGTTTAACGGCAAAATCAACGTGGTGACCAAGTTACCAACAATATTAGGCCTATATGTTAATTTTCAATTATGCAGGAAGCTCTCAGAGGACAATATTTCTGCTGCATCATGTATAGAATAAGGATGCCAGACTCTACACATTAAGTTGCAGTTTGGCACCAACGAAAAGTACGCGATTTTGTATATGTACATCCCGTGTTAGGAATCACGTGTGTTTTTAATGTCTCCGGCCACATATACATAAATACACAGCCACTCATTTTGTACATTTTGCTTCCGGTGGAACCATCTGTTGGATTTTTGGATTGTCGGGCTCGCTCCACTCTAGCAACACCGATATTATCCCCAACTTTATCATCCGCTCAATCTGTCAGGTGTGAGGTTTTACACAAAAAAACCTCAGTATTAGTTAGGGTAGGGTAATTCTATTTAAACTCATTGGGTTTCTTTGAACCTACCGATGTGGGACATTTAACACTCCCCCTCACGTGTAACCTCATTTAGTGGTTCACACGTGGAGATCCATACATCAGTACACTCCGCCTCACGTGTAACCTCATTTATTGGTTCACACGTGGAGATCCACACATCGGTAATTAAAACTCAGAGGTCGGCTCCAATGGAGTTCAAACTTGTTTTCAATCTTTTTCAGGAAGTGTCTTTTTCGGAACTTAGAGGCCGACTCTATGTTAAGAGTCCAAGCTCATTTCCAAGCCCTTCCTGTTGACAAGCCTTTAGGTCAACAAGGCTTTAGCTTGCACGGGCGGCGGGCCCGAACCTTGACTCTGATACCATGTTGGATTTTTGGATCACCGGACCCACCCCACTCTAACGATACCGTTACTATTCTCAACTTTACCACCTACCCAATCCTTCAGGTGTAAGATTTTACCATAAAAGGCCTCGGTATTGGTTTGAGTAGGGTAATTATATTTAAACCCATTGGATTTCTTTGAACCACCGATGGGGGACATTTAACACCATCGATGGCCGACGGTGCAAAAGGTGGTCCAGGACATTACTGCAAATGCCAGAGCTAGCTAGTTCTCGAGGCTCTTATGTGAGTCTGACTCACCACCACTAGGTCCCCTACCGCTCCACATGCATCGTATGCATAGGACACTATCTGACAGATAATTTAGCATATCAGAACGGGCAAAGGAATGAACTTACCATCAATGCCCGAGGCAGACAAGCGAAACAGCAAAACATGAATCCTAACTACGAACAAAAGATTTCATATCGAACTAGTTTTGCTTTAGACAAGAAAGAAGGCTTCTCAAAGAACTAAATTGATAACAAGTTCATGAAATTCTGAGAAAGATACTGCAATATGTGGTCAAATCAAACTCCTTTGTATATATAAATCAAACTTTCATTTCATGCCACCAACAATAAGAAACAAAAAGGAAAGAGCGAGCAAGCGACATAAAAAATTCCGAACAGAATTTCCAGGGCTGCTGTACAATCATGGAGGCAAAACAGAACCGATCATATGGGGCAACAAGAACAAATTAATAATTAGGAAAACAAAAGCTAAACCCGAAACTCCCACATTTTCCTTTTTTTTTTCAGCTCAATTTGTTCTTCATCTGTTACCTGTTTGCTCGATATCTTTAAGAAGTCCGACTATCTGATGCATGCTTGGTCGTTTTGAGGGAAGGTCAGCTGTGCACAGATATCCAATCTTCAGGGCCTCCTCCATTTGGTCATCTGGTCCTGTGTCACGAACTTTTGGATCAATAGCGCTCGTCCCTTTGTTCTTCCTAATCAGTCCTCTAACCCAGCTCACCAAGGTTGCATCTTTCTCCTCGGGATAGTCATCGCCAAATGGCTTCTTGGAAGTAATCAGCTCAAAAAGAACAACTCCAAAGCAATACACATCAGATTTTGGCGTTGGAGAATCATACTCGGACTGAGAAAACTCTGGCGGCATGTAGCCAGGTGACCCTCGAGAGATCTCCTCATCCATACCGCTGCCAAATATCTTTGCCAGTCCAAAATCAGATAATCTTGGCTCTAAGTTATAGTCCAGATAAACACTACTAGCTTTAACATCTCTATGAATAATTGGAGGAGAGCAACCGTGGTGTAGAAATGCCAGTGCTCTGGCAGTGCCAAGTGCAATCTTGTGACGGAACCCCCATGATGTTAACAACCCTTCAGAGCCAACATTTTGAATGCCATTGTTATTGTCTTCTTCCCAGGTATCTGTGCTCCAATCCTCTGTTGTTTGCAGTACCCCAAGCGGCAAGTCATGTAGCAAATTCTGTATATTCCCATTCTCCATGTAGTCATAGATAGCAATCCTTTGGTCCCCAGCTAAACAATATCCCGTCAATGGAGCAAGATTAGGGTGTTTGATTCGTCCGAGATACTCAAACTCTCTTGCAGCTTCCTGGTCTGTCAGTGTAGAACCGTGGACCAAAACTTTCACCGCTACATGAATTCCACCCGGTAGAAATCCTCTATAAACAGGCCCGAATTTCCCTTCAGCCAAAAGGGTTCCTCGATCAAAGTTCGAAGTTGCAGATAAGAGATCTGCGAATGTGAAATTCAGCAATGGCTTCTCGAAAATCACTACAGGTACTGAATTTGCTTGCTTAACATCTGCAACCCATGTTGTTGAATCAGTGTGGAAGGAAAAGGGGCCTGATACGCTTTGCTCTTCCTTGTGCGAGGTTTGTTTTACCTCCCACCTTCTGGTTTTCCTTCTGCAACAAACTGCTAGAAACAGCAGACCAGCTAGCAAGAATACCATTGAGAAGGTCAAAACCAAGGCAAGCTTTAGTACCTTGTGCTCCTTAGCCTTATTAGCTCGTGCTCCAAAAGGGCCCGGGTTTGCTGCAATGGGGCAGCTGTTTGTTGAACCAAAGAAAGATGCTTGAAGGGTTGCATTGGAAATTCCAGAAGTACATAGTGTCAAGTTATTGTAAGAGAAGTTGAAGCTCTCCATCCAAGGGAGTTTCTCCAAGAGAGACACAGGGATTTCTCCGCTCAAATTGTTGTGAGAAACATCGAAAACTTGGAGATTTCTCAAATTAAGCAATGGGATTTTGCCTATAAGATGGTTTTCAGAAAGATCAAGTGTGTTCAAGTTACTCAGCCGAGAAATTTCAGCAGGAATGCGACTGGTAAGACTAGATTTCGACAAGTTAAGGTACTCCAAACCAGAAAAAGTTTCCACACTTCTCGGGAATTCTTGCCTAGTAAATCTATTGTGTGCTAGATTAAGGTGTTTGAGATTCTGGGATTGATTCCAATGATGTAAAATTTCTCCATTAAGCTGATTTTCGGACAAATCTAAATAAACCAAACGAGACCAATTGTAACTAGCATTGAATTGTACCTTCGAAATGTGGCCTTCAAACCGGTTCCTGCTAAGGTCAGCCACCTCCAACAGCTCCTTAAACACTCCCATCACTGAACCCTGAAACACATTCCCTGAAATGTTCAGAGTAGTAATGGAATTCATCTCCGAAAAATCGGAGCCCCGGCCATGAATCCCATTCCCAGCAAGGTTCAATACTTGCAGCTTAGGCAATGCAGCACCAAAACCAGCTGGAAGAGAACCGTTTAACCGATTCGACGAAAGGTCAATCCAAACCAAAGATTGACAGCTCAGAATTCCTGATGGGATGCTCTTCTCAAACGAATTTCCATTGAGCTTAAGAACTCGCAGGCTGGCAAGTGAGCTTATACCAGCAGGAATCTCCCCAGAGAAATTATTGCTGGAAACGTCGAGGGTTTCGAGCAGACCGAAGTTGCCAATGTTGTTCGGCAACGACCCGGAAATCTGGTTGTTGGAGAGAATAAGGTGCTTGAGAGAACTTATGCTCCACAAATCCGAAGGAAGACCGGTGATTTTGTTGCGGCTGAGGTTCAAAGTTTGAAGCTTTGTGAGCTTTCCGATGGTGGTGTCGGGAACCGGACCGGAGAGCTCCAACCCGGAAGCCTCAAAGCCGATAACATCGTTGGATTCACAAGAAACTCCTTTCCATGAACAAACAGGTGCAGAGAAGTCGTAGAGACTGGAAGAAGAAGATGAAGAAAACGAACCCATTTTTTTCAAAAACTCAGAGACAAAGAACCCATCTGTATTGGGTTGTTGGGAAGCCAATGGATTCAGGAACAGTGAAAAAACCAGTAGAGAAGCAAAGAAATGAACACCCATTGGGAAAATAGTGCAGCAGAGAAAAGGGTGTGAGAAAGTTTAAACCTTTCTTTCTCTATCACTTTCTCTCACTAGAACTTCAGAAGCAGCATTGCAGTAGCATAAATGGTTCTGGTCCCATTTCAGAAGTAATTGCTTGGGGACTCTGCAGCCCCATTAAATCCAACGCACAGTGTAAAGTGGGTTATCGTTTTTGGAGAAGAGAAGGCTGTTAGGCTAAAACTCCCCCCAAAAACAAGAATTTACATGCAGGACTTTATTGGGTTGGTGGTCCTTGTTATCCTCCCTAAGAAAAACCCAAAAAAAAGCTCTGGGAAAATAAGCCAATGGTTGAAACAGTTCATGCAAATAACAAACTTATTGCGTTCTCAAAGAGCTAAGGGTTTTCTGGGGTTTTGACCTTTGAGAGTGGGGGAATGTGAGCTCACCTTTTGGTGGTTTTGCAGGTCCACGACCATGAAATCCTGCAGAAACAAACAACAAAAGAAGAGGAAGCAATTTTCTCTCTGTGTGAGGAGAAGGAGAAGGAGGAGAAGGCTCTAGTTTTTGCTGCATATATATTTTTTATAACAAAAAAACAAGACTGTCATGTGTTTTTAAATGAAATGAAAACAAGGAGACTGTGAGGACTGAGGGGGGAGAGAGAGAGGGAGGGAGGGTATATTGGGAAAGAAGTAGAGGACAAGGATTGTCTGCCCTCCCATTTTTTATGTTCTCTCGTGCCCTCCTGTTTTGTGTGGTCACAGTTAAACCACGTCAACATTTTATATTGTTTTTTATAGAGATAATAAGACAAAAATAAATAGTAATATAAAATGTTGAGTGGCTTAACCGTGACCACATAAACAGAAGGGCACGAAAGGAGGGAGGCAGACAATCCTTGTCCGGAAGAAGAACGGGTAGACAGAAGTTGAGCTTCATAAATGAGAAAGGCTTAATGGAGGGAAGTAAGTGTCTTCCATTTGGGTTGGTGGGAATTTAGTGATGTTCTTCATGGAGTGTTGTTTTCTGACCACTAGATTCTTCTTCTCTAATTGGAAGTAGGTTGATTTCTTTATCTGATTCAAGTCCAATTGGAAATTGCCAATTTTGCCATTCAAAATGCTAATCACCATCTTTCAATGGTGTTTTGATTAGAATACTGCCAATTAATAGTGTGTTCCTATGTATTATGTAATAACAATTGGTTTTACGTCTAAAAATTTGAGTAGGGATGTCTGACCACATTATTTGTAAAACACTTCTTATAAATATATGAACACGTATATATTGTCTCATTCATTTTTATGCTAATTTTACCTAATATAAGAATTAGCCTAATCGGAAAGCCATATCAAAATATCTATCATATTGACGTTATTTTTTATTTTCAAAAGTATCAACCTTTAGAAAACAAAATTTCTAGTTTTGTTTTAGCAAAAGAGAAATTATGACCTTCTCCTCAACTTTTCGTAAAGCATGATGGCCAATCAATTCCTACATTCATTTCTTTTGCTATTTAAATGTACCAATTTTCACTTTAAATACTTAAATATGAACTCATGATATGCCCTTAACAATGTTATAAGTTGATCACATGAAGGGAAGTATTACAATCAAGCAAGACCGGTTATGAGTTTTCAAATATCCGGGATAAAATTTCAAATGGTGTTCTTTGTAGATTGATTAATAAATATTATAATGGATTGAAAAGCAAACTCATACTTATGGAGCCATGCGTTGAGCACATAGCGAACTATTCTTTTGTCTTTTACTAAAGAATATCGGGTGTTCATCGCTTTAAGTGACATACGTCTATTTTTGGAGGGGATCACCTCTGTGGGTATCCCTATAAAAAATTAAAAAAAAAAAAGAAAAGAAAAAGCAAACTCATACATACTAAATGCAACAAATACCACTAAACACTTTGATAATGAATCAAATTGTTTACTATTTATACAAATATAACATAAGTTCATATAAAGTACCTTAATATTTTTGGCGCCTGATTTTTTTTGGGCCTGGGACAATCATCATGCCCACACTGTTTCAGGGCCAGCCCTGCAATCAAAACAAGTTCATGGTTCTCATTTTGGTAAATTATAAAGTTTGCAACATTATATTTGCTAAATTAGGAAGTAAAGTAATGTGATGGGGCATATATTTCAATGGATTAGCTAGAAATGTTTGGTGTGAGGTACCCTTTTGTTGACTTGTACATTTCAAAAAGGTTCTCCCAATGGATTATGAGTCCCACCCATTTGCTTAAACAAGTGATATACCCCCTCCTAACCCATGATCACCATTTAAGTATACTTAATGGTGGGTCTAGTCTTCATAGTAAGATTTAAGGGATTATGATTACTCTCGCCTACAATCAATCATCTCGACTGTTTGTTGAAGAAAAACTTACTTACATTAGCTATTTCACTTTAGTAATATCCCAAAATAATAACGCAACATCATACAACATGTTATTGATCTGAAATATTATAACGGCGGAATACCGACATAAGTCTCTCTCATAGCGGGTTAGTCACATGATTAGAATTAAAAAAAAAACATATATATAATATTATATTTCTCCATATCTTCCATTCCATGTACTCTGCTTTCTTTTGAGGATTTGGTTTGGGGTGTGACTGCATAATGAAAGTTAATAGCACATAATTAATGTTTTCATGCTGATTAAGACACCTTCCCCTTAATTAAACTCAAGGCACATGAGGGCCTTGACAAGTTTATACGACGACCCTTGTCCTAGTGGATTAAGAAAACCCCAAATTATTTGTACATGGTAAAGGGTCCTCTTTGTCAAAACCTTAGGCGATATCCGAAACTGTTTTTAGGATGGTTAAAAGCGCTTTCAAATAACTAGAATTGCTTATGATTGTATTTGATGGGAATAATCATAAAAAGGTTTGAGATCATATGTAACAAAGAATGTTTTTAGGTTGTATTTGTGTGGATGCATTTCCAATCCGCCTAGATTGCTTTTTATCATTGTATAGAAAGAGGGAATTGAGCAGAAAGGGAGCACGCCAAGACCCGACAAGAAAGAAAATGGAGGAAGATTGCATCAAGTGGTGATAATTTGCACCAATTGAGGGATTAAGGAGAGGAGTAATAAAAAGATCCACCGACCCACACAAGGACTAATGATAACATTTGGTTTCATGACGTTGCCAATTTGCCAGCTGCAAACTTATTATTCCTGAGACAATTATGAATTTCCTTTTTAGCACTAGCGAATCATACGATAGTGGGCAGGGAAGATTGAAATGTCTGTATGAGTTTTTTCGGCTTCTAAAAGATTTGACTACATTGACAAAACCACCGACTGATCCCTGTTTCTCAAAAAAAAATAAAAAATAAAAAAATCCAAATCTATATTAGTGAACACATAACCCCAGCCACTTTTCTGGTTGTTTCCCAGCGAAGCCTCGCGCATGACGTTTAAAGAGTAGGCAAATTTTCGGGTGTAACAGGAGGTATTTACCCTCTCTCCAACTTTCGCCAGCTTTCTCATCACGGGAGGAGGATATACCCTGGTTACACGCTAAGAAACTCTCCTAAAAGTTGCACCCATGCAAAGGATGGATGCGTCGTTAAAATCTTATGATCGTCACTGAAAAATGGAAAAATTAAAATCTGACCGCCTCGACTCCTTAATAGAGGTCATGGGCGAGCAAATGAAAAGCGTCTGGGATCGATTGGGAGTAGGGAAGGGCAAATACCCATCGGTTATGTGTAACTGCGGTTACCTGGCCATTTAAATTTCACAGTTACGGTTATGGGTAACCGTTTAGATAAATAAACGATTATGGGTATAATTGTTTACCCGTGAAATTTAAATGGGCGGTTATGGGTATTAACTGCGGTTATAAACGGGTAACCGTTTACCTATTTATTTTATATATGTAAAATTAACACAAATTATGTTCCCTATCAGACAAAACTTTGATCAATGCTATTGACTATAGTGCATGATTTATGTAGCTAATATAATATAGTTTTCCTTAACCACTTTAAATTTCATGGTCCATTATATATATTATGTTAATACTTTACATTCCGAGTTAAATAACCTAAAAATATTGTCTTTTAACAGTTTTCGTAACCCAAAAATGCTTAGCAAATTTTATATTACCTTCATTGTTAACAGTTAAAAATATCGTCTGTAAACTATGATTTCAATTATTGAAATGATATAAAGACTTAAAAAATTAAAATACGAAAATGTATGATGAATGTATCTATAACGGTGCTTAATTGTTAGAAAAAGAAAATTATGACAAATTTTTCTTTTTTAATTTTCAAGTTGTTAAAAAAACACGTAGACGGATGAAAAATGAGTAAATGGTAAAAAAGAAAGGATAAACGGGTTAAAAATGATAAATGGGTAAACAGATACTAAACGGTTACAGTTAAATGGGTACACGGTTATGGGTATAGTTAATCATTTATAAACTGTTATGGGTATATGTATAACAGTTTAAGCAATTACCCAACTGGTAAACGGTTATACGGGTATGAGAATAAACGGTTATGGATAAATAACCGTGGTTACCCGTCCACTATAACCATTGCCCATCCCTAATTGGGAGACGTAGAGAGGGTGTCCAAGCCCAGAAATCACAAATACTCCAATGAATAGGTCCCTCTACCATTTTCCTAGGCCTTGCTAGATAAGAGATTTTTCAGTGTGACCGATCAGTACAATGAATGATGCACCACGTGTCACTATACAAATGATGGAATATGTGTGTTAAAAAGTTAATAACTTAAAAAAAAAATATTTTCCACCACTTATATAAAAATACGTGATATACTACCTATATTTCGGTCACAATGAAAAATTTCTCATTCCCGACGACCCAACGGGTGGTGAGACACGGGGCTCAAAACGTAAAGCAGCACCTAAAATATCACACCACAATAGAACACAACCATCAAAAGTTCTAGTGATTGATTGTAGGCGACCAAAAATAGATATATAGTAATACAAAAATCTTAATGCATCTCCAAAGGACCGAGCTAATACAATTATCCGTCCATGAGAAATCTCCCAAAGCAGTAAGATACAGTTCGCCTGCTCAGAGCTCTCTTCCTCTCCACACTCCAAATGCAACACATAAATAATCACCCCTTGTTACAATCTCTCTCAAAAGCTTAAAGAAAACAAAACAGCAGACCAACAATCTGTTCGTCGAAATTCGCCTTCTTCCGTCATATCCTGAGCGGGTGATTTCCAGAACCGTACCTGTCTAGCTTTTCCTTTTTCACCTTTGATCTCTGGGTTGCAATCCTTTGGAATGGATTTGGTCCGCCAAACGTTTCTTTGGGTTGCCTTATCTTCTTTCTCTTTCCGCGATCATATTCTTCATCCCTGCATCAATTGACATTCCACAACTCATGAGAAGTTTTTATAGGCAATGCTTTAACTGGTGAAAAATCATGCTGATCTAAAGTAATGTGAGATAAAAGGGATTCCAAACTCACCATTCATCGGGTATATAACCGATGCTGACGCTCTCTGCACGGCTTGATTCTACAATATGAGAACGAGGCAGTTCTATTCCGTCCCACCGAGCAACTGCAATCAACATCTTTTTTTTGAGAGACGCAATAAGAAATTATGACCACAATAACATTAGGTAACGCCAGATTCAATGGGCTTCTTGTCCATACTTTCTAAGACATAAGAAAGAACAAAACAAAAAAGTAATCCAGATATGGGAAACTACAAGGTTTATCCAGCATTCACAACTAACAGATAAATTGGTAGAAGTGAAGCTCAACTTGCCAATCAGAAGAAATACAAATGCAAAAGGCATTGCAATTGTGAAGGCAACACATGCATGACTAGATAACGGGACAACATATATGCGAATACTAAAAACTACCAGCAACCATGGATATATGGCCAGGAGGGCAGAGTTCTAGATAATGTACTCACCGACTGTCTCATCAAGGCCACGGGTTAGCACACCAATCCCTCCATTTTGTGTTCTGTCTCTTTTATGGTTGAGTGGGGTATCATTTTCCCCCATCTCCCGCAGGTTTTCTTTTGAGCACAAGCTAGAGACATTACCATTTTGTAGTCTTTTATCAGTTGCAAGAACTGTACCATTCTGACCGAGAGTTTCTCTAAACACTCCCTTTTGAACAGCCATTAAAGAATCACGATGAGATTTCACTTCCCACTTTTTATCAGTTCTGTCTGCATCGTTTTTTAAGCCAGATTTGGTCCCCTTTCTCTTAGAATTTCGCTTAGAAGGGTTTACCAAGGGAATTGACCGGGTTTGCTCAGATGTAGACGGCCCCATGCCATATAAGCAAGAATTGTCCATAAAATGTTCCTTAAGAAGGCTCTTGGTATCTGAAGAGGGGTGCTTACTCCTTTTGTGTTTCTTTTTCTTCTGTACACTTAAGACCACCCGGGAAAGTAAGCTAGGTCGTAACTGCATGCATGCAGCCTTAGACTTCAGCTGCTTCTTTTTCAATTTTCTATGGCGTTTGCAATCAGGAGATTTTACAAGCAACGATCCATTTGCCACAATTGATGAGCCTGGCAAATTTGCTGACTCGTCAATTACCACTTTTTGGCCAGAATCACTAATCTTCTCACCCAAAACATTACAAGCAGCACTTCCACTGGTAAAACTTCCAACCTAAAAAAAAAAAGAAGTTAAATCATGACAACACAACCTATCATAAAATTCACAAATGATACAAACAACAAAAATAGGAAAAAAAAAATACCTGACTAATTTTAGAGCTTGGTTCATCTGATGATCTGACAGTGTGAATTCCCTCCTTTTTCGTACTGCTAGGAACTCCGGATGACATACTCAAGTCTCCCTTCGAGGAAACTACATTATTCTGGATGCATTAACAAGTTAAAAACTCAAGCACAAAACAAAAGTAAAATTATATATCAAGTAGGTAAAACTAGAGACATCAAAGTGCATAGAAGATGTTGCCGACTTACATTATAAGGGGTCTCATCTTGTATGGGTTTAGCCTCAAGGCTTTCAGGGTCCTTCACATTGGGTGATATGACACTGGAAACACCATTTTCAATTGACCTTCCTCTCTCATTAAGTTCAGTTTTATTGGCATCAGCTTTTGCAGCTGTGGCATTTTCAGGACCCGAAGTGCCACCATTGCTGGTTGGAGATGATGGTAGCATATCTTTTCCCAATTTAGGAATTGGAATGGAAATCCCTTTCAAGGAATCCTTTGGTACTGATGATGAAGATTCTGAAACAGGTTCCTTCATAGGCACTGTATTTTCTGCCGCATTTTTAGACTCAGAAGCACCACCATTGCTGCTTGGAAAGGGAGATAATGATGGAGACAACTCTGAAGCAGGTTCCTTCATAGGCACCATATTTTCTGTCATTGTCTGGCAATTAACTGATGCTTCCTTCAAAAGGGGCACCATAGGTGGAACTATAGTTGACTTTTGTGTCACAACAATAGATGAGGATGGACCACTTGATCTGCCCTCAACAGAAACATTCTGAACGGGTACTTTGGAACCTTGGTTGTTAGTGGAAGGAGTTTTTAATCCAGCACCATTTGCATTGAAATTCTCCTTCCGAGCAACTTCAACAGGCTTCCTCGGTATTATATTTCTTCTATCGCGGACATAAAACAACATGTAAGCCCTCTGTTCTAAAACAGTCCTCTCACTAACTTGGTATACCTGTTCCATCATAGTTGTGCAAACATGTAAGAAACCTTGATTGCTTCTTTTTTTTTTCATTTCATATGCAATTTAAATTTTGTGGATTTACCGCTGCTCTATCCCTCAAATATATACTAAACCACAATTAGTTACAAACTAGTACCACTCATCACAAACAAGTGTCACAATCTGGTGATGCCAAGTGGCATCCTATCAATGGTAGTAGCTTTTCTTTATCATATAGCAAGTATACCCATCCAAGTGGGGTTATTCAAAGATAAAAACACAGCATATCTTTGGATGAGGGACTTATACGAGGGATTTGCATTCCCATTTTGAAGAGTCAAAAGTGGTCGGAAACCATAGAAAAGGAATTTGTCAATTTTGGGTGGGACTTGAAAGAGATTTTAAAGCCCGGAACCCCACTTCAAGGTAGACAAAAATATAAGTGGCTTCAAAAATCCATTAGACGAGAACTTAGTCCAACACTGAACCATGGACCCATAATTCAGGATCCAAGACCCTGGACACTCAAGACCCGGGATTCCAAACCTGGTGACCGAAATGTGAGACTCGTGACCTGAGACCTAAGACCTGGGAACAAACCTGAAAACCAGGACCACAGATCCAAGACCCAGACCAAGTAGTCAGAACACTGGACCAAGGTTCAGGACCCAAGACCCTGGCCGAGGGCACAGGCTAAACATGTTGTATAGGTTCCTTAAATGAATCCCACCACACTGGATAGATTAACCAAACAAGTAAATTTCAGGGCTCAATCTCATCTTTTCAAATTCCACCATTTTTTTTCTTTGTTCCTTCTAAATATCTCATCCAAAGGGAAACTTTTAGCAGAAAATGATCATAATCTGTTTGCTAAACATGGCACATTTAAGATCCATAAAGTTTGGTTACACCAACTGTAGAAAATCCAAATTGTGAAGCATTATGAGGCAACCAATGCAAATCTGGAAGCACTATACATCAAGGCCAGCTACTGGCTAGTGAAATCTCAAGTTATCAACGCACCTGGTTGTCGTCAAGGGAGTACCACATGCCACTTGATGTGCGAACATAGCAATAATAATGGCCAGAATAGGTGGTAGCCCCACAATGAACAAGAACCCCATAAAGTGTATATTTCAAATCTCCTTCCTGTCAAGTAGAACGTAAAATTAAGTTAAAATACAAAACCATGATGTGAAAAGCACGAAACATAATCAAATCACCAACATATGACTCTTGGCTTCCTCTAATGCGTTGTCCTGATCATAAACCTAATGGTCCAGATTCTAATTCCTAATTTAACCTTTTTTCAGCAAAAAAAAAAAACCAAAATTAAGATACAGTTTTCAACAAGCATTGGGCAAGATTATGAAATATGAAATAAAATAATAAGTAAACAGAATGAGTGACTTGAACAATCTAATACCACAATCTGTGCTTCTTTTAGATTGCTTCATTTGTAAAATAAAGAAATTTAGAAGTAAAGCTTGCATGGCTAAAAAGCTTGAACACTTACATAGGAACCACTAACAAAGGGCTTTAAATCCAATGTGGGGCCAAATTTTACATGTCTGTCAATTTTTCGCCCAGGATCATGTGCACGAAATCGTTTCAAATGGATGGTAAGTACATAAGGAGGCTTTTGAACAGTCATTTGTTTGAGAGCCCGAACTTTCTGGTTGCATCGTTGGCACTGATATTGCCTTTCCCCTCCATCTAACTGTTCTGCTGCAGTAAAGTTTCCAAGTGCTTTTTGCAAGGAATCTGCGTTGAATATTTCAAGACTTAAATCTAAGAATGGGTCAAACTTGTTGGAGCAATAGGAGCACTGCATACACTTGACCTGAATAATAATAAAAAGGATCATGAAACATCAGCAAATATTTAAAATCTTTACCTGTTTACAAAAAAGATAAACTCCCACACACTACAGTATCGCAAAAACCATAAAGTCTTACCTGGCTTCGAAGGCGACCGCCAAAGATCTTGTGTACCAAGCTCTTCTCATAGGCACTTGGGGATTCGCTTGGCACACCAGACGGTAAACAGCATTTATGCATGGACTCCAGCAAGTTTACCATGTATTCATGTGCATCCTCCTGTCTAGACTTAGTGAAAGTTCGAGATATGCCTTATCATGTGTCAAGGATTCCAACTTCCAAAGCATAGAAGCAATAAAATAGACCCGATACCACACTTAAAAACTGACCACTATTCTTAACCTTACGAAAATGTAAAATTGGAATGGTGAACACAAGAAACTTCTTGATAAACACTCCTTAAACTTGTTACTAGTTACTAGTTACTACACAAAAATTAACAGAAGAAAAGAAATAGGAAGTTAAAAATGAATAATAGCAAAGACACTAGTTATGAATCTTTAGTAAGGGAATTGCTCCAATCAGATCATTTGAGTATAGTTATCCCAAAGAAATTTGTTTTCTTGCTTATAAAACAACAATTTTGACTGTAAACTATAAAAAATATTCATAGAAGATTTTTTTTTTTTAAATTGATTTTTATTTTTATTTTACTTCTCTTTTGACACACTTGGTAGTCTAGCTTGTCGAATAAATAAGAACTTGATCAACAAAGAAAAGGTTCTATGGACAAACGTGGAGTCCAATGATTACGCCCATCTATGTATGGCAGAAGTATATCACCAGAAACATTTCAAGGATACATTGTAAGTTAATGACTAGATCCTTTGGCACCAAAATTCTCCCAGTGGATTGTAGAGCAAGACTAACATGCTTCTGGATAGCACATAAAGCACAAAACCCAGCAATATGGCCTGTAAAAAGAACAAAATCAATCAAATTAGCTATGCACATAAATTCAAAATTTCATACATGCACATGTAAGCATATATGAGTGCATGCTTACCCCACTTTACAAATGGTACACTATGAAAGTTTTTTTTGTTCATGTTAATTCCTTCGATGCAAACACACAGACAAAAAAATGTCATATTTATTTGTCTATATTAACTTGTTGCAAGCACATCCTAAGAAAGGGGAAGTGGAGGATTGTCGGAGGAGTCCATACATGAATTTCGATGCTTTCCACTTTGCAAGTATGCAGCTAAAGGCTCAGTATATGTCAGACACTGCAACACTGAATTGAGATAACAAGTGTTTCCCATATTCCTCAAACCGGCACCCTGAAAATTACACACACCATTTTCACTGTCAAGCAACTAGGAACCGAAACAATAATCGGAGAACAATCAAATGCAGCAATAGCATTACCACCAAAACATCACATAACAGAGTATCGACTATGAAATAATTGAAATTGGATAAACTATATCAACTGAAAATTGATTCGACACAAGAAGCCAAGCAACAAACTTTGAATTCAGCTACACAGAACATATAACAAGCCCAAATCAAAAAAATCCAAAATGGTTCAATGCAAATGCGAAAAGATTCAATTCAACAATATTGGATGGGGAGTTAGAGAAGAAAGCGATCAAAGGCAACACTTTGACTCACAATTCTCCGGAAGGTGATGCCAAAGCTGAGCTCCGGATCGAACCCGTTCTCCAAAAACTCGGACCCATCCCTTTTTTTGGCACTCAAACCCGACTGACCCTGACTAGAGCTGCTTCCGCCGCTGCTTCCGTGATTCAAGGTCTCGAGCCGGAAGTCACCGCCGCCAGTGTTAAACCCATTGAAGGGCTTCCTCGCTCGGTGGAACTCAATACGCCTCTGAAGCGGATTTGACCCAGTTTCCGATTCGGCCATTAGATCCGCAAACCCATCCGATTGTCTTTGGAGCTCCGCCATTTCCGGAGCCCAAAAAGTTGAGATTTTGCAGAGAAAGTTGAGACTTGTCTTCAATGCGCTTTGAATTTCTCTCTCGCTAGAATTGGGACTCAAGGTTTTAGTGGCGGAATTGTTTTTTGGCGATTTGGGAGAAGCAGAGAGCTTTCTGAAGGCTTCTGCGAAAGAGAAGAGACAATGGAGGCGATGGAGGCAGTATTAAACCCTACACAGAACCCCCCCAGATTTTTGGCACCAGGTGGCCGCCGCCTACACCGAACAACCGTGGGGGTGATGTAGGTGATTATGTCCTCGTGCCGTGATCATGTTTAAGTTGGACAATTGGATGAGGGAAGGGATTCTATTCGGATATCTTCCATCAAATTAACCTAATCAACTAATTTGGATTTTTGAAATTTATTCAACGATTAATATTATTATAACTTTTAAAATGAACCTCTGTTTTTAGTTGTTGAATCAACTTTCAAATGTCCAAATTGATTGATTTGGTGAATTTAGTTAAACGGATTCGGAGATGATCCCTTTCATTGGACGAGGACACATACAAAACAAGGAAAATACCTAATTGGAAATTGCTTGATGAAATTACTAATCAGGGTTTGACGACAAGACTTTATTCTCTTTTGGGTTCCACACCTCGATCATAAGCCATTTTGGCATTTCCTACTTTAAACTTATGATATGTGGATTGCGATTGTCACGGTATTTCAGATTAATCATAATTCAATATGTTTATACCATATTTAGGGCCTCGTATTTAGATCTCGTACAAATACTCAGGGGACTTAAATGTAATTATGGGATAAAGGAAGGGGCAAATATGTAATAAGTGAGGAGTCCTTATTCTATAAAAGGACCCCTCACCCTCACAATTGGAGGAGGCCTCACTCTCACTCTCAAAGGCCATTTCTGGAGCCTTCTCAGCCCTTTCAACGCTCTCACTTCCAGAGCTCTCTCTCCCCCTCACTTCTCAGAGAAATATAATACAATCAGTGTGGACGTAGCCCAAACCTTGGGGTGAACCACGATAAAATCCTTGTGTTCTTTGTGTTCTTCGTGTTCTTGAGCGTTTGTGCAGATTCACGGTCGGATTTACGTTATTCCAAGACCATCCGGTTTTGTGCATCAACATTTGGCGCCGTCTGTGGGAATCGACACAAAAAGTTATGTCGGTTCTCTCTCAATTTCTCACCTCCGCTGTGGATCTGCAAAACCAAAATCAAATCGAAACCCGAACCAAAAACCCCCATCTCTCTCTCTGTCCTCCTCGACCGAATTTCTCTCCTCAAATTGGACACAAGACCTCATTCTCCTTCTTCTTCACCTGAAGTACCAGTCTTCCAGACCTACAATTTTCCAATTTCGCCCTTCAGTTCAGACATGCCTGTCCCAAACCGATAACGTTGAGGAAGGAACCCAGCCACACCCAAAACGCCGTCGTTTACCCAGGATGATCGTGAGAATGTACGGCCGTAGCAAGGGAGGGGGCCTACAGGCCGCCGCCGACGCCGTCTATTCTTGCGACGTCGACCTTGATGGAGGCGCAGGGGTTTGGGGAAATGATGGAGCCCGTGGACGAGGTCAATTTCGCGCTGGATGGACTCCGGAAGGGTCAGCCGGTTCGGATCAAAAGGGCTAGCTTGCTGTCGTTGCTGTCTATTTGTGGCACCGCGCAGCAGACACGGCTTCTCAGGACTCAGGATATTATTTCTTCCCGTGCAAGCTCAATGTTCGTTGGGGGCAAAGGCCTTCTCAAGGCGCTGTGAAGAACAAGGATTGCAAAGAGGAACTGAACGGCGTCGTTAAAGCAAGCAAAGAACGGAATAACAACCGTTCATTTGGTAATCTGGAGATGAGGCCCAGAGGTGGATAGATTGACGGATCGATCCACCATCACCATCTTCATGACAGCGATTTGGAGTTGAACAGTCCGCCAAGTTTGACAAAGCAGTGTCTTGGGCAGCAACTATTCCGAGACCACCTTTGCTAGCAGCAGCAGCAAATGATCCTGTTAACCCCAGGCCTGGTACTCTTCGCCACGCTGTCATCTAGACCAAGCCTATCTGGATTGTGTTCAAAGCGAGACATGGTGATACAGTTGAAGCAGGAGCTCACAATGAAGTCTTTGAACAATCCCTCACCTTCTTGCAGTCGATCTATCCGTCCGTCTCGGCCCAGTGCCTTTCCAAGAGGATTTTAAGAGAAAGACTAGAGCACTTCCTGGCCCTGAACCCGTCCAGCAACTCCGGCTACGTCGAAAAACCTCGGCGGTCTCAACTCCTACTGCGACCTCTCCTCGCCTCCGACGTCGTCCTCTACAATCCCTCCGACCTCGCCACCTGGGTCGACCCCCCTCCTCATCGAGTTCAACCACCAGCCCCTCATCTCCACCAACTGAACCTCGAAACATGGTGGTCCCTCGAAATCCCGAAAAATGGTCCATCAACATTTGTGCATGCATTTCTCCAGACATCTTTCTCCAGATCTCACAGATTTTACAACTGGAGTACACTAGCTAGTGTTCAAAGGCAGTGGCGGACAAAGCAAAAGGAAAAGAGAAAGAAAAGGGAAAGTAAAAGCAAAAGCAAGTCAGTGTGTCTGGAAGTGGAGAGATCAAAGAGGGAACAGAAAAGAAAAAAGATCATGTTGTTGGGAGAATATTTCAGAAAGCAGAAAAGAGGAAGGCAAAAAGGATGCACATGGAGACACTGCCAAAACAAGGAATAAATACCCCACCCGAATGATGTAATTTATTTTTATTATCTTTCGGAGACATCTGTATAAACCCCATCAGAGGGTAATATATACATAAACCCCATCAGAGGGTCAAAAAAAAAAAAAAAAAAAAAAAAAAAAAAAAAAAAAAAAAAAAAAAAAAAAAAAAGAAAAGGAAAAGCCCAAAACAAATGGGCTGACATGTTATGGAGGGCAAAGGCCCATAGGCCTGAAATAGCACCAACCAGGTCATCAAAAGTACGCCCAGTACTCCAAATTATACATGAGCACTACTCATGTCATTCATACATAAACATTCATGAGCATCACTCATGACAATCATACATAAACATTCATGACCATCATTCATGTCAACATTCATGAGCATCACTCATGTTAACATTCATGAGCATTACTCATGACAACATCCATGAGCATCACTCATGTCAATCAACATAAACATTCATGAGCATCACTCATGTCAATCAGCTTCAAAAGCTTCATTTACAAAAGCTCCAGCTTCGAAAGCTTCATTTACAGAGCTCTAGCTTCAAAAGCTTCATTTACAGAGCTCCAGCTTCGAAAGCTTCATTTGCAAAGCTTCACCTACAAAGCTTCAGTGCAAGGTATACAAATACCGCCTTAGAACAACCGCCACTTCGGCCCATACATGGATTCAATTTGAAGTCTCCAGCCAACAGACTCTATTGACCGAAGACTTGGGGGACTACATTATGTACCATATATTGGGCCTCAACTGGGCCTCATGAAAAATACTTGGGGGACTCTAGCCCATGATTTATGTATTAAGGAGCGAACCCTTATTCTATAAAAGGGACTCCCTCACTTTTATTGAAAGATCACCCATGATTTATGTATTGAGGAGCGAACCCTTATTCTATAAAAGGGACTCCCTCACCACCATTAGAGAGCATCGCCGCCTACTGAGCAACTGTCTCACTGCGAGCATCAACTCTAACTCATCACTTATGTATTGAGGAGAGAGCCCTTATTCTATAAAAGGGACTCCCTCACCTTCAAACGCCACAAGCCGAGCCAACCAAGGCAACACAAGCTACAAGCAGAGCGGCCTCGCAACATGTGCTACTTCTAGTTGAGCATCATTTCAGATTGGGCACCGCCTCATATCAAGCATTAGTTCTAGACGACATCTAGTTACTTCGGCCCACACATGGACTGAATTTCAAGTCTCCAGCCAAAAGACTCTCTTGACTGAAGACTTGGGGGACTACTGTTTATACCATATTTAGGGCCTCGTATTTAGATCTCGTACAAATACTCAGGGGACTTAAATGTAATTATGGGATAAAGGAAGGGGCAAATATGTAATAAGTGAGGAGTCCTTATTCTATAAAAGGACCCCTCACCCTCACAATTGGAGGAGGCCTCACTCTCACTCTCAAAGGCCATTTCTGGAGCCTTCTCAGCCCTTTCAACGCTCTCACTTCCAGAGCTCTCTCTCCCCCTCACTTCTCAGAGAAATATAATACAATCAGTGTGGACGTAGCCCAAACCTTGGGGTGAACCACGATAAAATCCTTGTGTTCTTTGTGTTCTTCGTGTTCTTGAGCGTTTGTGCAGATTCACGGTCGGATTTACGTTGTTCCAAGACCATCCGGTTTTGTGCATCAACACAATATAAAATGAGAAGTTTTAAATCTGTATGCCTCAATATTACATATGCGACTGTCACTTATTATTAATAATTACAAGGACCAAAATGAAAAGCTTTCTAAATTCATCATAATGTACTTAAATAATGTAAATTACTAAAAATGCCCTTGTAAAGTTACTAGCTAGGATTGAGCTAGATTTACCTTTAGTTGTCGATAATCATTTTACAACTCTGGGAAGTTCTAAAGTCTTATCCAACGTCAAACCTTACGTTAATTTGTGTTATGTTGTAAGCTCTTGTTTCGGCGGGCGTAATTGAATAGGATAAGTCCAATTAAATTGAATATAAATTTTGTTCGTTGTTTGGTGAAGTTAAGTGTATTACAAATCAAATATGAATCTCGCATTCATATAAAAAAAACAAGGGAGATGCAAATATCCAACTTTAGACATGGGTTTTCAAGCAACTCCAACCGGGCCATGCCACTACCAAAACCCTAGTCCAAGCTATAATTCAAGTCAGCCCACCAAACATGACATAAGAGAGGCTCAACTCAGTAGAAAGAGTTGAGTTAACTACGAGTTTGAGCCCACCTTCCGTTGGAATGGATCTACAATTTTGAGCAAGGTGACCGTAGCCATATCGTGCATGATAGATTTGAAACATCATCATCCCTGCATTAAGATGTAAGGAAAATTCCTGTGTTTGATAGTCGGTTTAGATGAACTATTCGACCAACTCACAAAATGGTGGCAACGATTTTGTATTTGAAAGTAGATACCCAAATACGTTGATTCGACCACTTGTATTATGACACTTGATGTATCGTGCATTCTTTCTGGCACACCAAAAAATCTCTCA